GGCTGAAGAAACCGGAATCAACACCGCCGCTTCTACTTTGACCATCCTCACCCGTATGACTGTACTCCTCACGCTTGTGGCCATCTCTCTTTGGGCAAACCATGAAGCCTCCATGAACATCGACATATCCATCGTCAATTCTGCGGTTGGATCTCGCGCAGGCCGCCGCTTCGACCTCAACTTCGTGTCCAACGGCAGAGCCAATCGGATCGTTCACCACGCGAGTCGATTCGTCGAGCAAGCTCTTTACCCTGAGGACGCCTATCCTCGAAAGCCGATCAGCCACATAACCCTGCACCTCGCCAGCAACGATCTTGACTCGGTCACGTCGGTCAACCCGGGCGCCGGGTCCGGCGACTACACCATCCATCTGAGCCCGAGCCTCATGTCAGAAGCCGACGGGGACGGCGCCTTGGCCTCGGAGGTGCACCGGGCGGTGGCCCGGCTCATGCTGTGGGACGCTCAGCAGGCGGCCCCGTCGCAGCTACTGGAAGCCGTAGCTGACTACCTCGCCGTGGCGGCGGGCTTCCCTCCGAGCTCTAACAAGACGTGCAACGTTTCTTCATACTGGTCTGCCGAATTCCTACAGTACTGCGAGGTCCGGCGGAACGGGTTCATCGCGAGGCTGAACCGAGGAATGAGAGAGCGGTGGTCGGAGTCGACGGTGGACGACGCGTTGGGCTCGCCGGTCCGGCAGGTGTACACCGCGTTCCACGCGCCGGAGACAGGTTACGTCATGGAATCTCTCAACTCCACGTCGAGTTCGGCGGAGGTGAGGCAGGCCACGTGAGCTAAAGAGAGAAGGCTGCGATGAGAGGGTTGGAGTCATTCACGTTTCATGGAAGGCCTTAGCTGGGAGCTTACCGGAGACAGAGCGTGCAATCATTGGCGCAAGTGGACATTGTAAATTGATATTATTTGTAATTACTTTCTAAAAATAAAGATAATTGAATGGAGAAGGAGATCTGTTTATTATGTGGGCATTGATGGACATATCCATTTCAAATATAATTTTCGAGAGTAGATGATTTTTTTTCTTGAAAAGTAATAAAAAAGGGTGCATTATTGAGATGTCACAACTTAGGAAAGTGATAGCACATTAGATGTCATGAGAATGCCACCGATGGCCTCTACTTGCAAACGAGAGCTTAGGTTTCCTCTACGCAGCTCCAAGGAAGAGTCAACGATACCTTGCTTCTGTAGAACGCGATTTAGTTCCATAGAATGTGTGCATGAGACCAAAGGTCTTCGAGGAAACCTCCAAGTTGGCACGTTGATTGGGGTATCAATCGTCAGTTTCACTACAATCGAGAAATGGAGTGTGTTTCTGTGTATGTTATGCATGATAGAAAATAGCTGACAGAAGGAAATAAGGATCAGTGATAAAAAAAATAAATAAATAAGGATATAAATAAATATAAGAATTCTCGATGTATCACGATTCTCAATCAATTCATGATCATCTATCTTGATTCGTTTACTTTGTTTACGGGAATCAATCCGAATATATAGCACTACAGTGAATGTAAACATAGTTTATTATAATATAATTTAAATACAATTCAAAGAGCACTGCTAAGTATAGGTCTCCTGTCATCTTCCCTCGCAATCATCCTCTGTTCTTCTCCGCTGTAGATCCAGTGATCAGGATCTCGTCTACTGATCTAGTTGTTCCCAGGGATCAGAATCCCTCCTTCCTCCGCAGCGATCAGCATCCCTGCAGCGATTATGATTGCTCCAGCTCGGTTGACAGCCTCTACACGCGACAGCAATCGACGAACCTTCTCCGCCTCACCGCCGCTCAGCACAGTCACCAGCGACTCTGGTCGATCGATCTCCCTGATTCCTCTTAATCCCCTTGCTGCCCCGTCGCTGCAGCAACGACAGCGTCCTCTCGTCGGCGTCTTTCTTCACCGTTCAACCCCCCCTCCCGAGCGGCCATCTCTCACCACCGCAGATCAAGAGATCAGGCAGTCACATCCTCCCACCGCAGGGAGCCTCCCAACTGCCTTCCTTTTCCCACCGTAGGCGGCCTTCCGACTACCTTCTGTCGGCCACTCCTCCTCCCACCGCATGCGGCCTCTCCTCCAGGAGAAGGGAAGGTGTTTCCTCGCCGGCTTCTTCTGTGGCATCATCACCTTCTGTGACCCACCGTACGAGCGCCGTGGCCCCACGGTCGCTGCTGCCAATCTGCCGACGATCCCACCAAATCTCTTGCGCTGCCCAATCATCCCACTGCTCTCATTCTTCAAAGACGTGAACTGAAAGGCCAACATTCGAAGCCTAGAGCTCAAACCCACCGATCTAGTTGGATCAAGTCCCTCCTCGAACTCCTGAAATGACTGATCTACCCTTCAACCACATCATATCTCTCAATTCAAATATACATCATGTCCTCCTCCAACTCCGAATATTCGGTTATTGTTTCATCCAAAAATAACTTTTCGCCTCAACTTAGATAATTTATATCCATTAATATCATTAATTAATACTCTTTAAGCACACAAAATATGATAATTATATATCTTAATGAGTATAATTTACTAACCTTTATCTCTTTGGATATGATCTAGAGTTATATTGATGACTCTTTCTGTTGTTCATTTTAACTAATTCAAATACCATGATAATCAATCTCAATGATAAGTCATAATAATAAATTATGACTACATTAAAATCATCTTATCTAACAAGCTATTTAAGCTTTAATTATTAGTTTTATATCATCACTAATCTCTTCATGTAGCATGATTCATGTAGCGTTATAACATAAGCATGGTCCAAGTTAGAGATCATTTTTGTTAATCACTCTGATAATCTAAGAGAAAAGTATTCTTACTAATAATATTCAAAAGCGAAATCACCATTCACACTATTAATTATCTTGGTGACTCATCAATGTCATTTTAAAAACTATACAACAAATTACTTCAGCACGAAACATATCTAAAACGTAAAGAAAGAAAGACAACGCTAGTAATTACAACTCAATTCAACCATAAGTCCAAAATAAAAAGTAATCAAAATAATAAAAACTTCCATAAAGGGGTAAATAATGTACACATGGGTAACTCACGGAGTCATTATCCTCCTTTATACCATCAAACTCTTTAAATATGATGGTAACTCTAACCAGAATTACATATGAAATAACTTCAACCCTAATAATCATTATGATGATTTATGATATTTTAATAATAATTAGCAAAAAATCATTAGTCAACTTTATGACAAAGTTAGACATATGACAAAAGTTTATCGATATTAGTTGAGCTTAATGTAACACCCAATCATAACCAATCCAACTACTCATCTAGGTAATTGGATTGCTGATTTAGGTGCTTCATATCACATTATCTCTAACGAATAAAATCTTTCTATAACTTTAATTATAGTAGCAATGAAGATATCATCATCATAGATGATAATGGAATCCCTATCATATACCGATTCTATGATACTTAATTCATAAATGATCAATTTTAAATTCGATCATATTTTGTATGCACCTCGTATAAAAAAAGAATCTCATTTATATTTTATTTTATTTTATAAATAAAATAATAATTCTATTGTGTTCTTTCTTGATTCATTTCTTGGAGGAAACTTTGGTCAAAAATCAAAATAAAGATAATAACCACTAGTAACTCTAGCTAGTAGATTCACAACTCATCCTACCGGTCGCCCTTGTCTTTATAGCTACTCTAACTGATGTCATCATTACTTTCATCATCCATCGTTCTCTATTCAACAATAATTAATCTCTTGCTACTCTCTTCTAATTTCTAAGTTAATAAAAGTTGTTACTCATTATGACTTTTGTTTTAATAATAAAAGTTACTAATTATCTTTTAGAATGTCATCAATTTCTTGTTCCAAATCACTTGAAATCATTTAGTCTAGGATCCTACCCCAATTATTTTCTTTGATAATTTTAGGTTTTATATCATTTTTTATATTACTTCACTAAATATGCCTGTATTTATCCTCTCAAATAAAAATATGAAGATATATCAATCTCTGATCATTTATAAAAATAATTAAAAACTTTTTATAGTCTATTATTAAAATAATATATTAGTGAATACCAAGTCCTAACAATTTATCTCTCAACCTATAGTATAGATCATTTTAAATCATCACTATGCACACCTCAACTGATTGGTACTACCAAATGAAAACATTATCACCCGGTAATCTCATCCTCCTACAACCCTCCATACCATTCTTTTTTTAGTCAAGTAGTTTTCAAATGGTTATTTACCTAATCAACTAGATGCTCAATTTAACCCCGTAACATCGCTCACTATTCAAATAATTTTTAAAAAATTCTTAAACATTCACAAATTACTATAGGTATTTAGTTGTTTATGTTATTCTCGACTTTACCGCTATGCTTAATATACACCAAGATCCAAATTATGTATCTTTATTATATATTCTCTTAAACATAATATTTTTTGATATTTTGTTATCAAACAAATAATATTTTTATATTATGACATATTATATTTGTTAAACCTAACTTTTCCTTCCAAAACATTTTACTTTCGATGAGGAGAGCCACTGTCCATCCTTCATTAGGTTTATGTGAGTACGCACCAAACTCATAAGATTATTTCCTATTATTTCTATGTTTCCCATATCAACAAGTAATCCTTCTATAGATCTCTACTCCCTTATTACTCTTGTTTAACATCAGTATCATACCTCTTCCACCTACTAATAAGTAACTTCACATCAACTATATTATCTTTCTTAAATCAAATTCTATCAATTGAAATTAAAAAATAAGAACATTATTGTAAGATCTATCATAAAAGCTGAGTATTATAATAATATTGGTACAACCAATCTACTCCAATTAAGTATTTCATTCTTTCATGACACATATTACTATTAATTTTTATTTTATCATAGATCAAGATGTTATCTATACTTTTGATCAACTAGTAGACTCTATCACAAAGCCATTTATTCGAAAAGTGTTCTAGTTACATCGTTCAAAGATTAGAATCATTTATAGAAATAAAAAATATATAGATCATTAATAGAAGTAAATAAGGATACAAATGATTGATAAAGAATTATATTATGATCTCACATTAATTCATAATTTGAATCACCTTGATTCATGCAGGGGAATCAATTGCAGTATAAATATACCATTCCACAGTGACTGTAATCATAATCTTTTACATTGCAATTCAATAATATATACTGTATCCAACATTTGACTACGATGAGGGGTTAAAAATTTTAATATTTATTAAAAATATTGATATGTATGAGATAAAAAGAGATAAAATAAGAGAATAATTATATAGTGCTAATGATCGAAAGATTAAATTACTGATGTGAGTCATATATAAATAATTTGATCAAAATGAGTCCATATTTAAAATTTATAAAGATTGAGATGAGATGGGCATAATAACCATGGTGAAGCTAAAAGAAAAAAAAGAAAAAAAAGACGAAAAAGGTTGAGTCACAATAACCATAGACAAACTATAATTTGATTGAACGAAGATGAGTCATGTAGTAAAAAAATTAATCACACATATAAATATCAGAACAAGTTGAAAATATTTACTTATATGAGATAAAAAAAATGATAAATTAAAATAACAATGGTTATATATATTAACTATATCGATTCAAATTCATCATCTTATATTTCCTATTGAACTATAGTCATTAGTTTGCATCTATTCCTGAGACAAATTGGTGACCAAAATGATATCTTCGACATCGATTAATTGTGGTGGGACAAATAAAACAAGTCCAATTAATTAGCTATCGAGACGATAATAGCAGGCAAATGTCACAATGTCAAGTGGTTTTTGCTCTTCTATGGGATACAGTTTGGCACTGCTGTCTCTGATATAAATATTAATTACTCTGTCAAAGCTTATCTTACCTACAAATAAACAACGAGAAATGTTGTGCAGCGTATGAGTGATTTGGCTTCATCCAAGTGAAGGGCAAAATCTGTCTGTGCTCATAAGGTCATGCCAACCAGCATGCATGCCTGGATGTGAGACAATCAATCTCACTCAATTGGAAGTTTCTTTTGCATGCATGTTTTCCTTTTGTAACATCCACACTTCATTCCTGAATTCTACCCCATCTGTTTTGATACTTTGTGGTTCCATTTGTTTAGCCATTATCTATCTTTTAAGATAGATGGATAGAGTATAAAGAGGAATGCATATTAAATGGGTGAAAAGAGAAAGATAGTGGAGAGTCCAAGTATACGAAAGGAAGAGAGACAGATCGCTGCTTGGAGGGTGCTTGAGAGAGAAATACTAAGTGCAGTAGGTATGTGGTTATAGTTAATCTACATTTAGGTGTCATGTTATAAAACTTTTAATGGGGTGTGTGTTCACAGAGATCAGACTAAATAATACTGTCAAGGTATTCTGATGAATATTATACTGATATGGAGGTATTGATATATCCATGTATGACAAGAATCGTATATCATTCGATCATCAAATTTTCTTGTATCACTTTTAATTACTTGAGAGATTAAAAGAGGATTGTACTATATTCAGTAAGTTTGTAAATTACTCGTCGAAGATTAATCTTAGCAGACCAACTAAAATAAAATAATAATATAACTCTAGTCAACCTACGAAGACTGCTTTGGCTGTGGTTCCTCACCCCATTAAGTTTGTACGAGCAGCAGGTTGTCCCATTAGCTAGACTTCCAGCTCAATTTTGCATGGACGTGGGCAGCATGTGATCACATTGCCTTCCTCCCATTCGCCACAGCTCGTAGATTTATAGACCATGTAAACCCAGTGTTATGGTCGCATGGCATACACCATCTTTGAAGTATAAGATGGAGGAAGATGGTAGTAGTAGTTCTGTGTGATGCCGTAAGGGAGACGAAGAAGAGGAGAAGCTTTACTGATGTAATGATATTTGTAGCTCTTATGTTGCCACCACCTCATGCATTGGATTTAGAGAGAGAGAAGGGGATAAAACAGACATCTTGACAAGAATCCAACACTGGCACAATTTGGGCAGAGGAGTTGGAGGATAAAATGGTCCGTTAACAGAAAGATTGCAAATCCTGGATTTGCAAGCTGGATTTGGAGTTTTTGTCTGCTGAGTTGACCTCATCTCTCTCTCTCTCCAGTCTCATCTGTCTCTTTTTCTCTCCCATTAATTAATCTCATGTTTTCTTTGTCTCAACTTTAAATGCCAACTCTGTACTTCTCCGATGCTTTTTCTTCCTTTCCTGTTCTGTTCATCTCCCCATACCTACCCCTTACCTTTGGCTCTCCTCATTGATCCCTCACAGTCTCCTCCAACTCATTCCTCCACAGAATGTGATCTTAGCCCTCCCCATCCTCCCCAAAGCAGAAGCCATCTCGCACCATTTTACCGAACTGACCCCTTCCCTTCTCCCAGTCTCTGAAAAAGGAGCTTTTTTCCCCTCGTGGTTCGGCACTAGCCATTCCTTGATTCTTTATCATTTCTTTGATGCTTCTTTCCTCATTCCAGTCCAGTGGCTTTTCTCTGCTTGGATGCCACTCTAGCTGCATTTTTTCTCTTTAGTTTTGGTTCGGTGATTTTGGGGGTTATTGGCCTTTGGTGTTGAAGCTTCACGCCTTGGGGTTCCGTCTCTTAAAGACGCCCTTCGCTTGTTGTGTGGAAGATCAGCAAGATCAGACCACCAAAAGCGGTAATCCTTTTTCTTCTTATCGACTGTTGTCTTCCATATACTGCTACAGATTGCTTCATTAGTGTTCATGGTAATATTCGGTGATGCTGGATGGCTAAATATTTCCTTTTCTTTTACTTTCTTTCCAATGTTCTGTCAGTGAAATCTCTCGCATCTCTGGGTTTCTGATAATAAATCTCATGCATGTCAGATGATTTTCTTGAGTATGCAGCGACTTAGTGTCAATTGATGCCTTCTTTTAAGTTCGGATACCAATGTGGACCTTTGTGTTTTGTGCCACTCAAAGATCTGTCTTTTTTTCCCCTTTCTTTCATATATATGCCTGGAATGCATTGTTCTTAGATTTATATGAAGTTTCACTGTAGAAAATGTTGTTTATGATAGGGGATTTATGTCTTGCCATGTAATCCAACTGCTGCCAGATCAAGGGGTATAAGGATTATGACTTTACTGTTATGCAAGTTAAACACTCACTAACGAAGCATTCTTTGAATTACAGGAAAGAAAATGTCATCCGGTAGTTCATTAAATGCTGAATTATTACAGAAGACACCAGTTTTTGGTCTGAGACTTTGGGTGGTGATTGGCATCTGCTTTGGTGTATTAATTGTGTTTATTCTCACTATTTTATCGACATGGGTCACATTCAAGAGAAAGACAAGCAGGGGTTTTGACAACATGACAATCTCACAAATCCCGACTGTGTCCAAAGAGATTACCGTGGACAGAGTCGGTAACCCGTGTGATGCTCAAACTCTTCAGGAACTTACAGGGCCTTTCTTCCACTCGCATGACAAATTTAGTGACACGGAATCAGTAAGGACACTTGCCCACTTGACCATGAGCAAGTCCAGCGATGCTGATAACCTGAGCCACTGCAGCTCTGCCTATCACAATGACAGGGCTGGGAGTTCATATTCTGGTGATGAAGGTAGTACCGGACCCACTAGGAAAACACATCCTGCATATGCATTTGTGGCTGCATCTCCTTTGATTGGACTGCCAGAATCCTCACAATTGGGTTGGGGTCACTGGTTTACTCTAAGGGACCTTGAGCTCGCTACAAATCGTTTCTCTAAGGAGAATGTCATTGGGGAGGGTGGATATGGAATTGTTTATCGCGGGCGTTTGATAAATGGATCTGAGGTTGCAGTAAAGAAGCTTCTAAACAATCTGTAAGTTCATTACTAGCATGTACCATTTACGGCCACAAGCAATTTGATTCATCATCTTTTGATCCACTTGGTTTACGCTATTTCAATGGTTTCTGACCAAGGTTCCTTCTAAGTCATGTAGGGGACAGGCAGAGAAAGAATTTAGAGTGGAAGTGGAAGCCATTGGTCACGTTCGACACAAAAATCTAGTGAGGCTTTTGGGATATTGTGTAGAAGGAATTCATAGGTGAAAACTTGTTATGAACAGTCTATTTGTTATACATTCTTTGTATTTGCTCTATTACTTGATTGGTGTTTCATTTGACTAGAACTTTATATCATTGCCTAAATTTAGGGGATTATAGCTTATGCCCCTAACTCCGAGAAGTTATGGTAAAGCTTTCTTCATCTCCACAACCTTGTGATCTTATTGAACAAAATGGTATATATGGAAACATATACTACAGGGATCAAGTTTCAGCAATAAAAACTGAACTTCTGTCAAAATTATTAAGCACATGAATATGCTGTAACAAGTCAAAAACATTTGTGATCTTGTAAGTTTATTAGCTGTAACTATTAAGTCAAAACAAACTAGTTCATAATGGAGAGTGTGACAAGACATTTTTTATGCTAAGATCCATTTTTATGGATCTTAGAGTACCACTTAAGTTCATAATGGAGAGCGTGGGAAAAAGGCACCAAGTACCATTAAGTATAGCCAAAATCTGTCATCATATGTCAGTGTCATACATCTAACTGCATTTAAAAGTTAACTTGTTGGTCTTTCGGAGATATCTTCTTCATCTCTAAAAATCTGCCATGAGGGTTATTTAATGAAGGAAATGATTTTTTTTCTTAGTATAGTACATGGATCTGAGAAAAATCATGACTTAATAAAAAATGTGTTTTTAGCGCAAGAAAGTGGTGTCTATATGATAATAATATTGTAAATTATTCCATAAATCCACTGTTTGATAAAGCAAACACATCCAGCAAGATCACAAGTAGATTTATCATTTACGATACCTGGCCAGATAGTTTTGCTGCAAAATTTATGCCATTGTTTTAGTACTTGGTACTTACTAAATTGTTTGTTGAAAGAGCAACCTTTTTGCGTACACACAACCAAAATGGATTACATGGTTTTAATTACTTTTTTTGAGCCGATTATGTAATCACCCAATACATTGTAGGATGCTTGTATATGAGTATGTCAACAATGGAAATCTAGAGCAGTGGCTACATGGAGCTATGCGTCAACATGGCATCCTTAGTTGGGAGAACCGCATGAAGGTCATCCTTGGCACTGCAAAGGCGTAAGTCTTGTTTTCAGAGTAAATTATAGCCCAAAATATGCTTTCTTTTTTTTTTCATTTTAGTTTGTGTAAAAGGTCACATCTTAGTTAATTTGTTAATAGTATATTGATGGTTGACCAATTTGGTTACCGGGATGGCTTTCAGACTTGCTTATTTGCATGAAGCAATTGAACCAAAAGTTGTGCACAGAGACATTAAATCAAGTAATATCTTGATCGATGATGGATATAACGGAAAGATATCTGATTTTGGATTGGCTAAGCTTTTGGGTTCAGACAAAAGCCACATTGCAACTAGAGTAATGGGAACATTTGGGTATGTAGGCTATCAGTGTATGCTCCTTTTACTCCCCCTTCTATCTGGTAGCATCAATTTTGCAGATTGACATTGGTACTTTGCAACAAAATTGAAGAAATAAATAGGATGGATGACATTCACTTCTTACAAATCTCAGGTATGTGGCTCCAGAATATGCTAACACTGGACTTCTAAATGAAAAGAGCGATGTTTATAGTTTTGGAGTATTGTTACTAGAGACTGTGACCGGTAGGGATCCTGTGGATTATGGCAGGCCGACAAATGAGGTATAGCCAACAAAGTCTCCGCACTACTTAAATATAACTATAATTCTGACTACTTTCTTCATTATTTATTATCTCTTCTAACATTATGCATGACATGATGAACTTTTTATTTGCATAGAATCTGATGCTTTGCATGGATCATCAACTAAAAGTTCTCACTATGGTTTTGTGTACTTACATTCTTCACCTTGATCTCATAACGAGATTGGTAAAACATCTCTTGCCTTCTACTCCCAGGTGAATCTTGTCGAGTGGCTAAAAATGATGGTTGGAAATAGAAGGGCAGAGGAAGTAGTGGATCCAAATCTTGAGGTCAAGCCGGCTATGCGTGCCCTTAAACGCACACTTTTAGTTGCACTGAGATGTGTTGATCCAGATTCTGATAAGAGGCCCAAGATGGGTCAGGTTGTTCGAATGCTTGAAGCAGATGAACTTCCTTACCGTGAGGTCATAACCTTCCTTCTGGTTTTAATGCAAACTCCATTTGAAATGATTCTGTGTAAGCTTTGAATCCAAATTACTGACATGCACACTCTTATTTTCTAAAAAAGGATAGGAGAAACCGAAGGAATCAGGCGGGAAGCATGGAGATCGAAGCCCTGAAGGAGAGTAACAGTTCGACTGATCTGGAAAATAAAGTAGGACTTGGAGATAACCGGGCATCCGACAGGTTCCAAGCATAACAAGTGTCATTACGCCTGCATGAATTCAGCTGTTAGCATTTTCTCTTTGCTAACGATGTTGAATAGCTCTGTGGCAAACAGTTTGAGATTGACTGGGGAATACAATTTCTGGTTCTTTGGGTACAGTGCTGTTTCTTCTGCCAGCGTGAGTTAGGTGAGACCAAAAGAAGAGTGAACTCATCATTCTGATGTTCCTGAAAACCTGGTCGTGTTGGATTTCCTGTATAGATCTATCTTCAATTTGGATATCTTCTTCTTCATCAATCTAAATACTGTTTATTTGTCTGTTTTGTTCTAATATTTCTCCTCCCCTCCAACTTCTCATATGTCTTGCTGTTTACTCCTTTATAAGAAAGGCATGATCACTCCTGCATTCCTGCTTTAGCATCAACACCATCACAAGCATAACACGTCTTCTGCAGTACTGTGTGATCACCAATCACTGTGCCAAAGCTTGCCTAATACCCAAAGATGCTTGTTTGTGCTTTATTTCTGGTTTTGAAGAACATTAAACGAAGCCCGTGAGATCACAAGCTTATTTATATGAAGCTTGATTTGGTATATGCTAATCTAATTTAAATGGGTCGGATAAGGATCTCTATACTGTCCCTCGAGTCCAACTGGGGCTCCAGTTTTGCGATGTGGTCAGGTCTGACTCATCCAAGTCGAATACATGATCCGCTCGGAGATACGCTCGATCGTGGAACCCGACCCGATAACTCTCGAGACACGTTAAGCTAAAGCAATCTTGCGGTCGCAGCGGACACATTCTAGGGTTTACAAAGGCCTCCCCACCCTCCACCGCCTCCGATCTCACATTCTCGCATCCAACTTGAGGCCTTGGCAGCGGCGGCGGACTCGCAAGCAGAGATGAAGGTGATCGCGGCGTATCTCCTCGCAGTTCTCGGCGGCAACTCTCATCCCTCCGCTGGCGACATCACGTCCATCCTTGAATCAGGTGAGGCCTTGTTCGGTCGCTGGTTCCCTTCTCTTCTTTGAAGCGTCTCAATACTTGTTGGGGTTCACTCGATTGGCTTGGATCTCTGTTGTTGTTGCGCAGTGGGAGCGGAGGTAGACGTGAAGAGGATAAATCTTTTCCTGTCGGAAGTTGAGGGGAAGGACATCACGGAGCTCATCGCCGCTGGAAGGGAGAAGTTCGCCTCGGTCCCGTCGGGAGGCGCCGTGGCGGCCGTCTCGGTCGCCGGCGCTGGTGGTGCTGCTGCGGGCTCTGCCCCGGCCGAGGAGCCGAAGAAGGAGGAGAAGGTCGAGGAGAAGGAGGAATCCGACGACGTGAGCCTCTTAATCCCACTAATTGAGATTAAAACAACAAAAAAGACATCTTTAACTTTTACGGCGATTAATTATTATTATTATTTTGTTGTACTGCAGGATATGGGCTTCAGCTTGTTCGATTGACGGGGTATCGAGTATCTATTTATGCTTAGCTTACTTAAAAATCCTTTGCTTAGATTTAGTCGAGGAAAAGTGGTGTCTTGTTTCCGAATTCCGTCTTATTTAAACTTTTGTGTAAGACTTGAAGAAATATGTCTTGAGTTCACGTAGTGCAACTTTTTCTAAGCCTTTCCCCAATATATTTATCTTATTGCTTCTGTCTTTTACATGTGTGGTTTGTGGAGGTGGGCTTTCTTCAGGAGAGAAGAAGTCTACCTTCTCTTTGCATAGTCTTGGATCAGAACATACATTATTGGCTATTATGCATTTTTTTTATTTTCCTTTTTTAATGTTTAATTTGCTGAGTTTTGTTTTACATCATTGTTGATTGGCCTGTGAATTTACATTTGGATGCTGCTTCAGCTTTCAATTTTTTGTTGATTGGCCTGTGAGTTTTTGTTTTATATTTTTGTTCAATATTTTTGTGTGCACATAAATGTTGCCTCTGATTAGAATTATTATAGTGCACATACCCTAGTATTATGTGCTATATTGTGTCAACTATACTGTGGTGAAGTCCCTGCTGGCTTTATGCAAAATTCTTGCTAGAGGCAACAAGTGAAGGAAATATAAACCCATAAGGTGGACATGGCCAATTAGATATCCTCCTCTATGACAAGGTGAAAACTTGTTCATTTGAAGTAATTTGCATTTAGCTTCACATCAAGACTGCATAGATCACACATGTTCTGATGGATATACCAAAAGCAAACTCTTTGAGAACTAGCGATACTAATCACCTGATCCGGTGGAAGAACTGACCTCTTGGGTGACTTCAAAATTGCTCGAGTCTAATTAAGATAGTGTGTCTATCCACATAAGGCGTGATGACCTCATCATATGAACTTGATTAGCCACTGACTTGGAGTGTCATAATCTCTCGCCTTCGAAATACCTAGTATTGTGTCCTGTTTGATTCGATAAGCCTGAAATCACATGGCTAAAAGTTACTTCTTTTGGGTAAGTAATAGAGAGTGTCTGTGATGGTGGAAATCAGTCAGGATCCATAGGTCACCAAAGCATTCACCAAGTACAATGCTTTCTTTTGGGTACAAGAAGTAAACTGCAGGGAAGTTGTCAATCAATAGGCATCAGAGAATCAGGGTTAAATGTCACATGAATGTCTGCAGTGAATCCTTCTAGAATAGTTTGCTGTTATATATATATATGTAGTTGATCACACTTGAATGAGGTTAGTTTGACACTGGCAGCATTTGATGATCATAGGGATTACATTTCATCATCTCAATTTCCTTCTCTCTCCTGGGTGTGGCTTCTAGTTATTTTAGTTTCATTAGTCTAATTTGACTCCCCTCACTTTTATATGACAGCACTGAAGTTTGCTGAACAGAAGATTTCTTTTTTGTGTGTTATTATAGGACAAAATATTGTTATAACAATGGAATAGTTGAATCCTATATGCCCACGCAATGTAAGCTTAGTGATAGAACCAGCATGGCTAAGTTGGCTAGCAAATCACTTAATTTGTTTTTGGGGAGGGATGAAATGGCTTATTTTTCAATGTGAAAAATGATGTGTGTCTATGAATATGGTTGCTGATGTTTGAGGAAGAAAATATGCTTGGCAATATTAAGCTGGTAATTCACTGGAAATCTGGACTCTGTTCTATACCTTTATGCGTCTGTTGATGGCTTCGTAAGAGAGTCACCTCCTGATCCAACTCGACTCAGTCGCTCACCCTTCATAGTTGCTGCTGCTACTTCTGCATGCCGTCTGCAACCTGTGGACACAACTGCAGGTATGCTCTCAACACTTTTGATTAGGACACAAGAGGAGGCTTATCCATTTGGTTCCGGAGCCGAGGAAACGAAGGACAAACAGTGGCGTCTTGATGATGTGAAATCTATACATCCACGGAGACACAATGGATATGTGCACCGAAAAGTGCGATTGGATCTGCAAAGCAATCTCAGTGAGCTCCAACGTGTTAAAGTTGTCGGCAACAGCCAAAAGAATTAGATTCCCGTAAAGGTGTGCATCCATAAATGTCGTCAGTCGGCCAAAACCATGGCGATAATGAGAGGATATGCCATTGGATAGTGGATGTCTGCCACAGGTAAATAACTGTGGTATGAAGAGAATATATGCATCACGTTTTTGTATCGAGCTTTAAAAAACTTGCTGGTGGACGACATCCAAGATCGGGAGATGTAGATGCCCTTTTATCTGATGTCTATAATTGCACGCTCAAAGAAGCAGATCAAAAGGGAAAGAAACCAGAAGGGAACAGAGCAAGTTCAGTGAGGGGAAGAAGACGACTGTGGTTCGAGGCAGCAGGTGAAGAAGACATGAATGAGGTCGAGCTCGTTTACAATCTGGCTGGAGGATTGATTGCACGCTACAATCTCATCAAGGCTTTGTACAAAACAAAGAGACAATTAAAGAAAACAGTACAAAAGTGTGTGTATGGAACTTCGCCTTCCTCGAAAGCTGTTGATAAGGACTGAGGAATCACTTTCCACGTTAACCTTTCAGAAAGTCCAACGCCATTGCAGCCCGCAGACTATCCCCGATCCCTTTTTCATCCCGCTCGCATGAGCACCGAAATCTCCCACGCGTGGCAACAGCATCGCACCAGATTCGATGCCCAAAAGGAATGAGGACAATAGGAGGATGAAGAGCACATCTTGGATGCCCAAACCCAAGACGATAAAGTCCATGCCAACGACAAAACTCCCCTGCAGTCGCCCTTCGTCGTCTGTTCGTATCCTCCACAACGCTAATTCCCCCTTGTTTTCTCGGCCAACTTGCGCTCTGTTCTTAATTCCTTACATCCGCAAGAATTAAGCCGTAGTGGATCTCATCATGCCAAAAGTATTTGTCGAGCGATTAAGATGAAACAAGAATATACTTGCCGGAGTCTTAGTTATACGCAAAAGAGGGCCTTCATGATGGCTTCGCGAGTGTGTTAGTACAAAACCAGTGGACCATCGCCACTTCCAGATCAAAGTTAAACCAATCATTACCCTCCGATTAGTAGTACCTCCATATATAAGCCAACTGCAGCAAAAATCCAACAGAGTGTGGGGCTCAGAGTGCATGGGTTGCAGTGGACCAGGTTTTTTCCCCGTCTTTTTCCTCGGGCTGATGATTGTGTTGGATGGGAGGAGGAGGAGGAGGAGATGGTGAGGAGAGAGATGCGCAGGATCTGGATGAGGAGGTGGAATCTGCAGGCAGACGACAAAGGGGACAGCTTCTGAGCTTGCAAGAGGAGCAAAGCATCGCGTGGAGTGGAAGGGAACAAGTGACTCGGTTTATCCAACAACTTGTTCGAGGAGTATCGCAGACACGGCAAAAGAAGGCATGTGGGGCTGATGTTGTCCGCCGGTGGTGGTGGTGGTGGTTGTGGTAGGCCAAATAATCCACACACAAAAGTGAGAATTCTATATATCTGATATCTGTATGCATATATTATTATATAAATAGAATTAGTCAAGCTATTATCATCTTAAAGAGTATTTAATGAAATGACTTTGAATTTAGGTGCGAGTATTTCTTAAAAGAATAAATCGATTTTTCTTTTGTTGGTCACTAACTGAATAATTACGAGAGAATCAACAAAAAAATAAAATATTGTTTTTCGAACCAAACAATCCAACAAAGTTTTTTTTTTAACGATATTATTATATAGAAATTTTTTTTTAAAAAGTCGATTTTTATTGACATTTGTTTATTTCAAAGTTACATGGTTCTGGTGATCCGGCGGAACAGACTAAGGTGCGGTTTACTTCCGCGCCCGGGACGACGGCCGTCATCGACTCCTCCCGGTGGAACTTGGCCTGCTTAGCGATGAACGCTTCTATCGTCCGCCGGAACTCCTCCGCGTCCTCCACCTCGTCTTCTTCCACCGCCAGCGTCTCCTCCTCTGCTTTCTTCCGCCCGACGTCCGTCTCAGATCGGAGGAGCTCGGACCGCGCCCTTTGCCGCCGCAGCGTCCTCCCCGACCGGCTCCTCCGGAGCGCCCGCGTCTCCACGCACACGGCCTTGTCCTCGAACACTGCATCCTCCGGCGTCGGGGCCGGCTTCGGTGGCGGGAGTGAGTCGGAAATCCGGCGCCGGATCTCGAGGATCTCCTCGTACAGAGCGCCGCCGCCGTCGGAGGCGGCCGAAGCGGGAGAGGGGGAGAGTCGGCCGGACTCGGCGAGGAGGAGGAGGACGATGGCGTTGGCGAGGATGAAGACGAATCGGGGGCCGAGGAGGACGGCGGCGAGGCGGCGGAGGAGATCAACGGAGAGGTGGGAGGAGGACCAGGAGAGCAGGAGTGCGGCGGCGGCGAGGCCCTCCAGGCAACGGAACAGCGTGCAGATCCTGCGGAGGCGGCGGAGGCTCCTCCTCGCCGTCTCCTTGTCTGCCGTCACCGCGTCCATGTTGGTGATCGGGCGGTAAAGCGAGTCGCTCGAGTGTTAAGGAGAGAGTGTGCGTGCGTGTGTGCGCGAGAAGGGAAGAGCGAGCAACTCGGCCCTTATAAAGACTTCGACCTGCTCTGCCGTCTCACTCATGAATCTATATCTAATCGAAGCAAACAAGTCTTTGGTCTTCCTTTTCCTTTTTCTATGAATAAAAAATTGGATCTGATTTAGTGCAAACCTGGTAATGGGCCGACCCATAAATTTGTCTGGCCATAATTAACAGCCCAATTAACAGACTAATCCCATCTTAGTGATTAGTTATGTCTCTGCCAACATATGCCCTTTCCTCCATTTCTTATGGATTGAAGACGGCATCTACGAACTTTGTGTCACATCCACTGCTGAGTTCTTTTTCGTATTATTTTGGTTACGTAAAGCAATTCCATTCGAAATGGAGGACGAATTGGACGTGCATGCGAAGCGCTCTGCGCGCGCGCGTGCGGTCTTGGGAAACATCTGGAGCGACAAGACGAGCCAAACCACAGGCTCTTCCACCACCCTATCACATCCCGGTAACGTGTCACGAGTCACTGCCACTTCTGATGGCCCATTGCAGACGTACAACCTCGTAAATAATACATTTCCCTGCGGGGTTCGGAACTCGAGGCGACCGCTCTGTGCGTGCTGAGCTTGAGGGACGACCGGACAAGCAAAGTCGGCCTCTTTTGGCACAAAGGTCGGTCAGGGAAAGAGAAAAGTTGCAATGCGCTTTATGACCTTTCACGGCCGCTGTCACCTGTGAAGCCCGTCACGGAGGTGTTGTTATCAATTCCATCTTCTTCCCCCCCTCTGCTCCTCCTCCTCCTCCTCAACATCGTCCTGCTTTCTCTCTGTAGTCACGTGAGCGAGTCGAAGAACTGATGATTGTAGATAGGGATGATAATTTTGCCCCATGGGCGTGATCAATCACCTACCCGATCACTCGTGCTACGCTGCCGGAGGCACAGGCCCCGAGTGCGACGCCTAGGACGAAGGTCGGCGGGTCCATGCTAAGCGGGGCATTCCATCGAACAGGAGACGAGCATACAAGTGGCAGTCGGGTTTCATCGGACTCTCGAGCAAATTTGATGAAGCCCAGCGGAGAAGGGTTTCCATCGGGCCTTCAACGGGCTCCCGTTTTCCGTAGGCTTAGCCCATCTTGGTTGCTTGTAGCTTATACGATGGATACACTCTGCTTTGCTCTGCTCTTACTGTTCCTTATGGCACCTCAGTTAAATATTACCATCCATCTTATAATAATAATACCTTACATTTGCTGCAGTAGACTAATCACATCATGGAAGGTTGACGCAAGACACAGACTACGTTTTAGCGTGACCACTATGGACGTCCCACTATTAGCCGCAGAAAAGATTCAAGGATCTACTGGAACATTCTTTCTTCTTCTAACGTCAACCATCGGGACAAGCACTCGTCGAATCACCAAAGCTGACGTGTACACAACGTTGATGTCGTTAAGCTCGAAAAAGACACGGAAAGCGACGTCCGATTTCCATCAGCTGGCCTACGCAAAATTATGATTGCAAGAAAACAAGTGATGGGCGTATGGACGTGATTACGATACGGGGAGAGGTACTATTGACGTGGTTGGAAGCATTCGCCATGTGAGTCCCTTGTCACCGCTGGTGGTATAAACCTATACCGATGCACGTATACGTGGACACAGATTCGCATGCAATCTGCAGCGGGATCCGTCAACTTCGATGATGCATGCCACGACACGAAATCTGTACGTGATGCATCTAACGGAGACATCACGACGCTGATCACTCTAAAATTGAAATGTGTTTTATATACCCACATAAGAACATCACGATTGAGCGAATTCAAAGTCTGTTGGAGAAGAATCGATGTGTTGGGGTGTCACAAGACTCTTTCCACACACAGCTGCGGATTTCTTGCGATGTGGAACCGTTCGTCTCATCTGTTTGATCTCGATCGTCCAAATAGTTTGATCAGATTCATCTAAACGGGATCTACGATGACAAATGTATACACAACACACGTAGCAGCCGCTTGAAGAGACGAAAACAACCTCCTCCTCGCTCACATGTTGAGCACCACCGCGCGGCCGTCAGCACTCTCGCCTTTCGCCTGCCTCCCTCCACACTACCGACCGCCCCCCCCCCTCTCCCTTCGAGAACAACCTCGGAGAGAGCTTCCTCTGTCACCGAGCTATTCGCATTCCAAGCATCTGGACTGCTTCAACTTGGGTTCCTGAACTCGTACATCTTTTATTCTGATGACTTGAATCCTGGCAATTTCTTCCGTTCCCATAGTGTTTTCAAGTGTTTGGAGTTGGTTCTCAAGGTTTTTAGCTACCTTTGTTTTCCTTCAGAAGGAAGCGATGATTGCACCCCTGATGGATGTCAGCAGCGTGGGGCTGAAGGCCAATGCATGCTTCAGCCATGTCAAACGTGGAGTTCTTGGCAGTGGGGAGAGTGGGATTTGGGGGGATGGGTCCGCAGGCGCCTCTAGAATTAGGGCTTGGGAATCAAAGGTGGCGAAGAATGTCAAAAGTGGCCGCTGGGTTGGAGGGTTCAAGGCGGGCGTTGCGTTCTCTGATCTCACTTCGGATGTCAACCAGGAGACTCTGATAAATGATCCATACGTAAGTAATCACATTCTTGCAGAAATTGTGTGAGTTTATATATCTTGATTAAGAACTGCACCCTTCTTTATTCTTCTACTAATGTAGTTTAGCAAAGTATTCCATACTCCTCTGTCTAATCTCTTCTTTTCTTTATGGAATCATTTCAGCTGTCAATAAATAAAATGCATGTCTATAATCCTTTTTTTGGGATTCAGGTCGTTGTGATTTGTCTTGCAACCAATGAAGTTTAAGCTTCACGTAACATTTAACTACATTTCTTAGACAAATTCATCTAAAAATGCTTTTATATTATACCTTGCCATCGTAAATTCTTCATTTCTTCCTTACACATGTTTGATTTAGCTTTTGTCTCTGTTTCTGGTTTACAGATTTATTACTAACATATCTTTCGAGGTGTTGGTTAGCTTGGCGGATAAATTTTTTTTTTTTGAATTTTTTTTATTTTAGTATTTTTGAAGGTGTCAGCTATCCTATTTGATAAAGGCTTTATCAGTTTATCAGAAGGTCCTGAGCTCGGATCTTGCCTTCACTTATCCTTTGTAAAGAAAAAAAGAAAAACATAACTTTTGAGGAAAATGGACTCAATATCACCATGCTGCGGTTGCAGGTTATCCAGGCTCCAATGTTTGGAAAACATAAGCCAGACCCCAAGAGTGTTGCATCGATCATTTTGGGTGGAGGACCCGGAGCTCAACTTTTTCCTCTCACAAGTACAAGAGCCACACCTGCAGTAAGAAATTGGCCCGATCTGCACCTAGGATGAAAAATAAGAGTTTATTAGATGTTCTGCTCTTCATATAATTTTTATTTCTTATGTTTTTCCTTACAGTAGATACTAAGATTTCTCTCTTAGGAATTCTCCAGTTATATTTTGTGCCTCGTTCCGGTTATAGCATGCATGATACATTATATGGTGACTTTAAAAGATATTGTTTTTTCTTAGTGTAAAAGTTGAATGATCTTTAGTGAAGCTATCTTACAGAATGTCAGAAACAAATTTTTTTTAGCATCTTGCATTCAGGTTTAAGAACCGTGATACTTTGAGGGTTGCGAAAGAGTTCCTCGAACATGAAAGAGTCTTGAGATCTTGTGATGCAGGGGGTGCTTGATTTCCTGAAAGAATGATGCTTATGTGAATTGTCATTTTTTCTGATAAGAAAAAAGTCATTCTCTTATGTGATATAAAAATGTCAATTGTTTCTGAAGACACATCTTCTATGCAACTTATTTCTGAGGTTTCCCACTACCCTGCAAATTCTATTAGATCAACAAAATGGAAGCATTAGTTTTTCCGTCATAGGCCATTACTCTTTTTAAGTCATATTCTTTCACCTGTTGACACTGGTATTTCCGCTGCATAGCACCTTGACAGCAAATATATTTTTACCATATTTTGTTCTCTATATTTTGGTTGTTGAATTCTCAATTAGTTCTCTTTAATCTAGCAAATCTATGATCCATTGTTCATTGTCCGCAGAGAATTCTAGATGTCAAAGTATCCTTGAACTGCTGATCTTATTCTGTGCTATATAGGTTCCTGTTGGGGGATGCTATAAGCTTATTGACATTCCAATGAGCAATTGCATTAACAGCGGCATAAACAAGATATTCATCATGACACAATATAATTCAGCTTCCCTAAATCGCCATATTTACCGTACATTTAATTTTGGCAATGGAATCAACTTTGGGGATGGATTTGTCGAGGTAATATTTTCAATTATACGGATCCATGCATTATTCTTTGTCAATGTCAACTGTGTTTAAGTTTGCTGGGTTTTAAAACATCATTAAGTTCAAGTAATTTAATTATCTGGACACCACTGAGATAGCTGATTAATTATTATGCTGACTCGCTAACTAAAAGCTAGAATTTGAATTAAATATTTGATCTTATCATCCATATGTTATTTTGAATCTTTTTTCAATGACTAGTTGTTTGAAGTCATAAGCAGGTTCTAGCGGCCACTCAGTCACCTGGTGAAGCTGGAATGAACTGGTTCCAGGGTACAGCAGATGCTGTGAGACAATTCATTTGGGTATTTGAGGTGCGCTATTTGGATTGAGCAAACCAAGAAAAGAGAATACAAGGATAAGATTGATTTTCCTTTTCCAAGGTGTTCTTTTACATCTGAGGTTTGTGACTTTGATATATGTTTTTAATTCAGGACAACAGGAATAAGAACATTGACTACATAATGATTTTATCTGGTGACCAGCTGTATCGTATGGACTACATGGATTTTGTGCAGGCATGTGTTAGCATAACTGATGCAATGTTGTTTATTGTCTATCATCTAATGTATATACTTAAACGACGCATGACAATTGCAGAGACATATTGATACTGGTGCAGATATTACCATATCATGTGTGCCTGTCAGCAGCAGGTATGCAATGTAAACTTGATCCTGGCTAGATGTGATTATGTATCAGCACTTGCATCTGGTTGTAGTCATTAATTCCTGAAGTCTAAAATCAGAAGCTGTAAACCAAGTTAAATGTCACAATCATCTAAAAGCTTGATGATGCATTGTCCTTCTCCACTCTTGTGATTGCTTGTGCTGCTGATCTGCCCTGCCATATTAGTTTTTGGAATTGCAGGAATCTGTTCTGTTCTTGATGTATCTGAAATTATGTATTTTCTGTTAACAAATCACTGATGAAATGTGATGAAAATCTTAATTTCATCTCTGGAAACAGTAACTAATTCTTTCTGAATAAATATTTGATCCTTGCTTTGTGCCATCTTTGCTGAGCAATGAACAAATATCTTTTCACTTCTACTTGTCCATTCTTATGAATAGGATGAATCAACCTTAATCTGTTTCCTTTGCTTTAGTTATTGGTAAAACACTGTTTATCTGAACTAGCTTTTTTCCCTTCCTATAAGCCGGGCATCTGACTATGGAATAGTGAAGATTGACAAGGCAGGTCACATCATCCAATTTTCAGAGAAACCCAAGGGAGCTGATTTGGAAGCTATGGTAAGTGATTTGTCTCGAGGTCCTCTTTTTGTGACATGAAGGTTTTTGCAGCAAGTGTCTCCATGAACAATCATAAACTTCATTGAATAAACTCACTAATATAGATCCACTTTGTGTACTGCAGAAGGATGAAAACACCTTCTTCAGATTGTCTCATCAAGATACTATAAGATATCCCTATATTGCATCGATGGGGGTTTATGTCTTTAACCGAAATACTCTACTGGAGCTTCTAAGGTATAACATATGTGACATTGCTATTCCAGCTTCTTCAAGGATGCTTTATTGAGTGTAATATTATCCCAGGTGGACATACCCAAAAGCAAATGACTTTGGACTAGACATCCTTCCTTCCGCTGTTAAAGCATATAAGGCTCAGGTGGGAGAACACTTTTACTCATTAAGAATAACATCTTGTGTTTTCACTTGATCAAGCGATTTCTTATTTTCTGTTAAGGTTTGGCCCATAATCATGTGCTCTTCTTGTCATGCTAGGCATATATTTTTGAAGATTACTGGGACGATATTGGAACAATCAAGTCATTCTATGATGCAAATTTGGCACTGACAGAACAGGTTAATCTTGTCTAAGAGAAAATTATGTTCAATCACTTGCTCTGGCTTGTTTACGGTTAGGAGGGTAACGGGGCCACTAAATTTGCTTCATCAAGAAAGAAAGACATAAAACACATTCAACATTCTATATAAGCTTGTGTAGCTAGATCACAAGGTGTTATTCTGATTTCAGTAATTTTTTGCCTCTCCAGCCTCCAAAGTTTCAGTTTTACGATCCGAGGACACCCATCTTCACGTCGCCTCGATTTCTACCACCAACTAAAATAGAAAAATGCAGAGTATGTGTTATCATTTGCTAGTTTCTTGTTAGCATTTGTGATATTTGGGCATCTTATTTTTAAAGTGAATGTGCAGATTCTTGATTCGATTATTTCACATGGATGCTTCTTACATGAGTGTAGCATTGAACATTCCATAGTGGGAGTGCGCTCACGTATAGACTATGGTGCAGAGCTAAAGGTTAGAACCGTGCATCCAACCATTATTTTCTGTAAAATTTTCTAGCTTGTGAAACTTTGTTTTCTATACCAGCAACGAGCTTTGGTTGCCCTGGAAGCTCTATGCTAAGTATCCACAGAGAAAAGACAAGACTAACTTGACCAAATTCTTTGGTTGTTGACTGGAAAAAATGGTCATGTATAATAATTGGATTCAGAAAGGGACACATTAAAATGAGCACACTCCATTTGAAACCTTTTAATTCCTTATTATGTTTCTATCAAGACAATATCACTTATTAATTTTCTATCAAGAAAATTAGCAATTTTCTTAAGGAACTCAAGATCACAGTCTATTACAATTGCTTGATGTGTCTTATCTACGCTTTGTGAGGTCATGCTTTCCGTCAGCTTTGGGCCTGAATCAACATCTCATATTGTCAATTTTTTCTACTTAAATTTTTATCTCATTTCTTCGCCGCTCTATGATTCTCTTAATGCACTTATTGTTAAAAATTGATTCATCTGTGCACTGGCATCAAGCTTGTCCAATCACTCAAAACGGTTCATTTCACACCGAGTTATTATTGTCTGTTGATTTTATATTAATAAAGCTCAACTGCTATATTGTATCTGTACAGTTGGGTTGGCCTCTCGAGTTATTACTCTCATTAATTCTAGTACCCTGGTCATGAAATATAAATTTCTGATAGCATCTAGTTTACTCCATGTTTGCTTACCGGCATTACATTCTCTTTGGATCTTAGGATGCATTGATGCTGGGTGCTGATCTCTACGAAACTGAAGCTGAGCTTGCATCTATTCTGGCAGAGGGTAAGGTTCCTATCGGAGTTGGACAAAACACAAAAATCAGGTGAGTTCCAAGTTCTCATGGAAAATGTTTGCAAAATGCAGATGATACACAAAGTTCTGAAACATGTCTCTTCTTTCCAGGAATTGCATCATCGACATGAATGCTAGGATAGGAAAGAATGTGGTTATCGCTAACAAAGATGTATGTACAACAGTTGGTAGTAAATCTATTTGTTGAACAGAGTAAAGTTTATATCGTCTAAATATCGGAGCATGATCATTGTGTAACAGGGTGTCCAAGAAGCTGATAGGCCAAGTGAAGGATTCTACATCAGATTTGGAATCACAATAATTATGAAGAATGCAACCATCAAAGATGGAACTGTCATATAAAAGAAATGCCAGTTCTCGACGTTTTTCATCAGATCGGAAGTATGGAGAATCTATGAATTGTAAAGAGAAATTTCTTAAACTTTTTTCTTATAGTGTTGATGGTTGTCTTCCTAAATAATCAGCTGCCCTAATGCAGACTAATCCATGTGTATAACTTATCAATCTAAAGTCATAGAGAACCTGATGGAAATCATCAACTGGTTCATATCAGAACTGCTCGTCGCATAAATGAATTCAGCAGAGGGTAACTTTGTCGTTCTTATTCCATTATGTTGATCTTATATATTGCACTTTTTTTGCGATAACATTGTGACGATGAGCAAGTTTATTCCTCATTATTAAATTTTGACGAGGATATCAAATTGCTGTCATTTTTAGAAGCCAAATAGTGCATCTGTATACAGATTGTAATGTCTTATACTGCAGCATCTCATCAAGCAAGCAGTAAAATTACTCGTGCATGGAGATGGATAGAAATGAAAAGAAACACAGAGCTTCTTCTTCTCCGTCCATATATTTATTGCACACATATATAGAGAGCATAAGATGCTGTGTCTCCTGGATGAAACGAGATCTTCATCTCAAGGAGTTCTGCAAGCTTCATCATGCATTCTTGCTCAGTTTCTTCCGCCATTCCCCCTGCTTTGCTCCTCTCTCACGGCCTTTGCCTTGTTGAGCCTGGCGATGTTTCGCAGTCTGGCGTACAATTTCCCGAGGTAACGAAGCTGGCGAGACTGCTGAGTTATGATTTGGGCCGTGGAGGTTCCCTCGCTCATGACGATCTGGTAGCCATCCCCGTAGGAGTCCATGCCTTGGCTCAGCAGCTGCCAGAACAAGCCACCGGCGGCCGAGCCACCGGTTCTGGCGGACCAATAGATCTTGGAGTAGACGGTCTTGAACAGGGTATCCCTCTGGTAGATGCTGAACCCTGGGTCCTTCCATGACTTCCCGAACTCCGTGATCAGCAGCGGCTTCCGGATCACGTTCCGAGCATCTCGGATGTGGACGCCGAGCCAGTTGCTCAAGAAAGCAAGCTGGGATTGCTCGTCTGCGTTGGACAACCTGCTCATGAAGCAGAGCGTTTAGTGTTCTCTTGCTGCCGCTGCTAAATGACAATTTGCAGTGAACTCGTGACGTTACCATTGATCGGGATAGGAATGGATCGTGGCGAAATCGATGTTTGGAATCTCGTTGTTGGCAATGAAATCGGTTCCGATTTCCAAGCCCGGATTGAATCGCTTGTGGGGTGATGAGGAGCCATAGAATCCCTCTAAACCGGCTTCCAGCAGGTGGTTGCCGTCTATGGACTTCACGTACGCAGCCATCTCTGTGATCCATCCCTACGTGAGAACCAAAACAAGAGAGAGAGAGCAGCTTAATGCAAGTGGTTTGCTCGTCGTTCTTCATTCTTGAACGAGTGAGACAAAGTTGAGTTAAACTGAGGATGATCAGAGAATGGAAGCTTGAGAATTAAATGGTTTCGATTACCTGAATGGTACTTCCTGACAGATCTGACTGGCATCTGGGCTCATTCATTAGCTCCCAAGCAAAGATTGTCGGGTCATCCTTGTAAGCAACTCCGGTGATGGTGTTGACTCTTGTGAGCATAGTCTAAAAGATCATCGAGCTCAAGATCAAGTACCAAGAATGACATAGAACTACTACAAATAGTATTGGATGTCAAAAAATATATGTGATTTTACAAACATTTATTTATTATATTCATGTTGCTGGTTCTTCTTCTTCTTCTTCCTACCTTGATATGATTCTTGTAATAGCCTTTGACAACAGAGTCTGTGAAGAAACCATCGTCTGATGCAATGTACTGACCCTGATTTCTTGCCCATTGGACATACTGCTTCTTCCCTCCAAAAGTATCGTAGTTGTTGGCCAAGCTTAAGATGAGCCTAATTCGATATCTTCTGGCCTCGGATATCACAAAATCCAACCCCTGAAGTGAACAACAATCACAACAACAAGAAAAAAGTAAACGTCAAATCGCCAGTCACCAAAAAGAGAGAGAAATCAAGAAAAGGTCGCGGATGATGTCGGAGACCCTGAAGGTTTGTTCGTTGTAGGAGCCCGGGGAGTACTGCAAGGCGTTGCTTCCCCCATCGCTGAAAGCCCATGTCCTGGCCACATAGAGGCCATGGCTGGAGGCGTCTCCAAAGGCAGAGGAGACCTTGCTTCTCTGAGACGGATCTGAGGCCAGAGTCATGAGCCAGTAGGCATTGAACCCATTGGCAAAGAACGGGTTGCCATCGAGCACAAAGTTCAGCCCCCTGGTCTTGATGAACCCCCCGCCAGCCTCGACATGATAACGAGGAGCCAGCAGCAGCAGAAAGAGGCCAGCCAAGAGGCTCACTCCCTTCATGGCTCTCTTCTTCTTCCTTCACTGTCGGAGGTGGGAGACTCAGAAGAATGGAGAAAGAGGAAGCACGGGGTATGGGTATAAATGATCTCTCGTCCTTCTTCCTAGCCTAAGAAACCGAGAAAGCCTGGATCTAACTAAATGCTTCAGGTTCTGAGAAGCTTCGTGTGGGTTTGGCCTACTGAACTAAGTGCTGTGATTACTTATAATTGCATTGCAGGAAACAAAGTCGCTGCTATCTGGAATCCAACGTAAAAACAATGAAACGTTGCTTCCTTTGTAAGCGTAGAACGCCGAGGATTGCGGCCAGAATCTTGATCTGGGAACAGTAAAAGGATTGCTCGAGACGATGCAAGTAACCTCGAAGAAGGGAGAACAGATGGCTTTTGGTGGATCAAGGAACCGTAAAGCAAATCAATCACCTTTTGTGGGGGGCATGCAATCATGGGTCCTGTCGAAAGCTTGACTCTCTCGTCGGTCGGCCTCTTCATGACTTCATTGGATCGTGTCCTCCACGGACTCGTTGTTTGAGTTTACCAGGGGATGATATCACCTGCTTTCCTGTTGTTGGAGTTGATGTAATTTACATTACTTTTTCATGTTGTCTTCTAATATTTGGTGCTTTAAACCATATTTGCAATCACTGCTCGATCGTCAAAGCTGCAAAGAATAAAAAAAAAGCTTGCAGAGTGATCATGGTCTCTCTCTCTTTCTCTGAAGGATTCATCAAATGCAACAAAAGCAGGAAACATCAATCATAATAACTGTTCTTCGGATGGTTGCAGGTTTACTGGTTTGTATAAGATTGCTCTTCTTTTACTTGTGAGAAGACTTGAGTTACATTTTTTTTTTATCTTTTACGTTATTACGGAATATAATCTTAAAAAAATCTTAATAGTTCATCGGTGCGGCTTGTCAACTCGTGAGGAGTTGTCCGTTTTGGACGATGGGTATATTCGATTTTATCTTTTATATCTTTTACATGTGAATTTCAAAAGACACTTACGAGGATAAAGGAGACCCGACGGACTTACGAACCGTTTGTTCGTTCTCTTCAATTAATATGGGATTAAATGATCTTATCAGCTATAAAACTATACATTTCACAAAGCCAATCCAATATAATATTCTATGGGAAAAGCAAAGATAGAGGTAATTATCCTCGTAAGGTGGATGACTGCAAATGTTGGAGGTGGTCCGAATGCCTCAACGGAGAAAAGGTTTCATTTCCTCCAAACTAAACTCCCCCGTGTCACGGCACAAAACCAGCTTAGTGGGAGTCGGTGCGGTTTGCTGCCACCTGACACATTGTCAACATACCTAACTCATTTGATCCGTGTTAGCTTTCGAAGGTACATGGGAGCCCGTGCGAGCACATGGCTAAGTCAATCGACTCAGCTTGAGTTGTTCATTAAAATAAAAGAAAAGAAAAGAAAAGAAAAGAAAAGAAAAAGGATTGGTTTGGAGCCGAGTGATGATGACAGTGGGAGACAAAAGGGCGTCGGTCGATGAGTTGCCGCGTGTTTATTCGCGAGGGTCCCCCGGGATTTGGCACCGTTTATGTCACCTATTACTTCGGAAGATGTCGGATCTCGGCGTGGATTACGGAGGCTGCCGACAACTCGGCGGTCGGAGTGCCCATGGTAGTTTACGAGCATCGCATTCACCGACACATCGAGATTAGATTTATGGAGGGTGAAACCTTCCTTCCTATAAACTTCAAGTCAAATGGCACATTCAGCATCCTTAAAACATAATCTTTAAAACTCAAATTACCTATTCTGTTACCATGCCACGAGGACATGGATCGTCTTATTACTTGCAGATGAGGGTTGATTTGGACGAATCGGTCGTGGGTCCCACGCCAGTGGGCAGTGGGAAGCTTTGTAAATCCTGTATCCTGCTAGAGTGCACACAGGCAGGCGGCGTCGCTTTGGGTCGGGATGTAACAGTATATGGCCCGGCCCAGCCTCCAGTAATCCATGGCCGACCCCGGTCGCATCCTACGAGGGTTGGAGAGCACCCGACTCGAGTTGGCCGACGTCTTCGTCTACCTCACCATCCGATTCCGGAGCAGTTCGTCGCTTTGCGGAAATATAAGCAATGAGAGCAGCTCTGTCGTCGACGTTGAAGAAAGTATCCGCCGCGGCAGCCGCGAGGCGGCCTCGTGTTGCGTTTGTATCATCCGCCTCCCACCACCACCGCAGCCATCACCAAAGTAATAAGTCGACCAAGAAGCGGAAGGACGACTACATCCTGGGCCCGGATCTCCCTGACATCTGGGCCACGCCCGGCTCTATCTCTCCTCCTGCAGAATCCGAAAGCGGAGGTGGTAACCGAACTCTTGTGTTGATCAGTGAGCCATAAACACAAACACTTGGTCGTCATGTGGATGTAAGCTGATGTTTTCGCACGCACACTACTTCAAGATCAAAAAACTATTAGTACATGTGTCCATGGAACATAAAGGGGAGGAGATTGATGCGTGAGGAGCAGGCGTGCTGCATGGTTCATGGCTTTGCTTGACACCAATGCGTAATTACTGTTTAGAATAGCTATTCTTCGAGGGTAGGGGGGAGAATGGAGTTTGTCGGAACAAGTTTCTGATCAAGTAGTTGTCAAGTTTCCTTCCGAGTGGAAATCCACATTCATTATACAAAATGAATAAGAATCTGATAAGGAGGTTTAAATCTTGTTTAGTTTTGTATGAGCTGTAGGAGGAATGGCGCGAACTTAGGAACACATCTTTTGACTATATGTTGTATCAAGTAATAATATTGTCATATTTTAACTTCTTTGTTAATTCTATTAGTTAACATATCAGAACTCCATTTGCTGATTGGTTGTATTTATGCTACCAAGAAAATTTCTAATATACCTACTGCATTGTTTTGCATCTTCCAAGGCCTGTGGGCTGTACATTGTTGGCTCTTTGGATAATTCCTTGTGTTCTTCAATCAAAACAGTTGTTTCATTCCAGAACTTTTAACTGGAATTGTAGGCTAAGGTGACCTGTCCACATGAATGATTTTAGTTTTATGTTCACAAGCATACACCCCAACTATGTGGTTAACATGATTATTTAGCAGAATTGTTTATATTATGCTTTAGTTTACGTACATGTAGTTAAACATGATGAAGAAAAAAAAAAACAGATTAAACCTCATGGCGACATATGATGGAATCTAGAGGTAACTCTTTTCAGATTTGTACCCCTTTGTAAGTAAATAAGTGCTTGTCTGAAGAAGAAAATGTTAACACTAGCCTTCAAAAGCAGACAGATGAGAATAGAATTTCCAAAGTATTAGAAATTCGATAGAGGACAGTTCCAGCCTATGACAAATCTGGCAACAAAGCTGTTTAATGTTTTGAATTATTTTTTCAAGCATTAAGAATTATCTGAAACTAGTTTGAACTCTTCTTTGTCTGATCTGTACAAGGAATCACTTTTTTCCTTTTACTATGATTTAGTTTAAGTACTTGTGTCAATTGTACTAGTATTTTTCTTATTTTCTTCTTCTTCAGCAACCTTGGCAGTTGATGCAGAACTGGCACAAACTATTATCGATGGTAAGTCCATCGCGGAAGAAATAAAATTAGGCATCGCTAAAGAAGTACACCGGATGAAGGACACGATCAAGAAAGTTCCTGGACTGGCTGTTGTATTGGTGGGTCAAAGAAGGGATTCCCAGACATATGTGCGCAACAAAATAAAGGCTTGTGAGGAGGTTGGAATAAGATCTCTGATGGCAGAATTATCTGAAGAATGTGCAGAAGACGAAGTATTGAATGCTGTATCCGAGTTTAATCAAGATCCATCAGTACACGGAGTCCTTGTACAGCTACCTTTGCCGCAAGTAAGTAGTAGCAATAATCTATAGCTTTCGGGCTTAGAAAACCTTCGTACTTCATTCACACTATTTATTCAACAACATATATTCATCCAAGCATAACGTTTTAGTTGCTTTGGTATTGTGGTAAGTAAACGGAAGTCACTAGTTTCTTATTGACTTCTAACATAAAGTTTGACATGACATGTATCTCTCTACGATTTTCATTGGGCATCGAGTTCTGTTATCAAGAATATATGAATTTCTTTTAAATTATAAGTTGATACTCGGTTGGTCAAAGCTACTTTTTTTTTCTAATGCTGTTCGAATTGAGTGCAGCACATGGATGAAGACACAATTTTGGGTGCTGTAAGTCTGCAAAAGGATGTTGACGGCTTCCATCCATTGAATATGGGGAATCTTGCTTTGAGAGGTAGAGAACCTCTATTCATTCCCTGTGCTGCAAAAGCTTGTATCGAGTTGCTACTCCGGTCGGGTATCAAACTGAAGGGGAAGAATGTGGCTGTAATTGGACGAAGCAATGTCGTAGGATTACCGACCACTTTGCTGTTGCAGGTATGACATAAAAGTTCAAATATTTCCATGATCCGGGTCAGAATAATAAACTGGAGATCTTGACAGAGACACCATGCAACGGTCAGTGTTGTTCATGCTTTCACGAACAATCCGGAGGATGTCACTCGTGTAGCTGATATTGTAATATCAGCTGCAGGAGTCCCCAACCTGGTACGTGGAAGTTGGCTGAAACGAGGGGCAATCGTCATTGATGTTGGGACAAACCCAATTGAGGTAAGTTTTATCCAGCAAGTTTATTGGTGTTCTTGAGCACTCTGCTTATCTACTGTAATTGATGTAGAAAGACATTTTATGACCAAACCACTAACTCAAGTTCCGCATTTCAAGTTCCGCATTTCACATTTGTAACTTGCTTTATTGATCACCAAATACTGACTACAACTTCCCAATCTGCTCATGCTCTTTAGTTACATTCGACTTGCCTTATTTCTTGTTGGTTCTCTAAAAGACTTTCATTTGTAAACCTCCAGTCCAGTAACTCCTTTTGCTTCAAACACTATACGAACACATTACATGTTCTCCGCATGTTTATTCATTTCATGCTTGTTCTGCACTAAATGCAGCTTATCACAAAACAAAAAGCTTTCAAGATCCCTTTTTTTTTTGTTTAAAAAGAATTTATGCTAGAATGTTACTAATACATGTAACTGCCGTAGAAAGATTTTACTTGTTTGATGGGTCAATACCATTTGCTACCCTGAGTTTGCTTCTCTTTCTACTTGAAAATGTAAACATCAGGATCCCAGTTTGGAGCATGGTTACTATCTAAGAGGCGATGTATGCTACGAGGAAGCGCTGCAGGTGGCATCAGCTATAACCCCAGTGCCTGGTGGTGTTGGCCCTGTGACGGTCGCCATGCTTCTTTCGAACACCCTCGACTCTGCTAAACGATTTTATGGGATAAGTTAGTGCTCTTCTTGCTGTAAAGCTTGTTGTCCTTTTTTTCCTTATTGCTGGTTTTTTGTCTTCCGTTTGACAAGCATTCATCGACCTTCTTGTGAGTGTAAATTTTGTTATCATTTTTCAGTTCAAATATTGTTTGAGCACCTCAATAATGGATTACTACTTTGTTGTCTGTGATGGTTGTCATTGCCTTACAGTGCCCCACTTTTCTTCCAGTCCACCTTTTTTTTGCCTGATTTCATTTGTTTCATTAGGAAATGCCAAAAAATGTATCATTTCTGGAACAGAAACAGAGGACGACTCAAAGATACTGGTTCGTCTGCTCGAGTAAATGCACTGTAATGACATGAACTTGGACAAGCTTTCGGTAGCTAGTGATAAATCAATTGGACGTACCTTTGATTCAACAATGTGTGTGTGTTGAGTTATCAAGAAAGATAGGAATAATTATTCATAATTAATTAAGTATCATTCCGTTAGAAGATAAAATGAGGAAAAGTGTTAATGGACATGTGGTAGAAAGCACTAGTACTCATTCCATGTGGTTGAATAGGAAGAAGAATCTACCGCAGCAAGAGAGAACAGGCATAGCATCCAACATAAACACATGTAGATTTCCAGTACATCTAGTTTGGCACTACAAGATAAGTTCATCATAGAACCTGACACCGCCACCATCTCTCTCCATTGTCACAGACGGCAGACCGGCCGGAGAGCTTCAACGCTTCCAGTGAGCCGACGAACAGATGGCACGGGCATCAATGCAGAGATCAATAACAGTAGTACTATGTACGTTGTTGTTTTTGGATCGTTCCTAAGTCGATCGCTGCTCATCTTCGTCGCCTTCGTCAGCCATGCATGAACGTACGCGATGCCGGCGTGCTGCTGCTTCTTTATGTCGCAAGTATGCATCGACAGCAACTTTCACATGATGTACCTGATTACTTTGCTGTACTTTCTCTAGTGTTGACAGGTATTATTTTATTGATATGCTGATTCTTCTGTGAGCACCATACAATCCATCAAAAGCTTACATTTGGGTGGATTGGCTTAGCTGCTACAGACAACTGTTTGATTCGTGTTTTGTTGCCATGAACAGTGTATCCAGAGCGAGTCTTCTTCTCCAACTCAACTACTTTCTCATTCTATCTTCAGATCTACAATGGCCAAACTCATCTGGCCCTACTAATCATCTCTTCTCACCTTTTATTTGACTCCCTCCCGTGACCATTGCATGTGATCAGAGGAGATGTTGCAGTCAGCATCCTCTTCCTCCAAGCCATACTTGGATGGATTGATAGATATATAGATAGATTGACCATTACTCACACGCCTCTTCTTGGCTTCTGCATCCAGAACTACCACACTGCATCCAGATAGATTGACCATTGCTTCTTCTGTCGTTAGATATTACTGGCTGGTGCTGCTGCAGAAACGACAAGAGAGCTCTTGCACAACTGGTGGTGTGGTGGCAGATGATGAGATTTATTTACGCCAACCAACAGTCACAAAAAGAGATGGAAAGAAGCTGAGGAGAGAATGAGTTCTGTGATGGCAGAAGGCAAAAGAATAGGACATGTAATTCCATGCCATTTATCATACTTTTGTGTTGCTGCTTTGATGAGCAATGGGGGCGAGGCTTGCGGCTATTTAAACCCAACCTTCCCTCCTCCTCTTCTCCTATCACCAATCTTTCTCTTCCACAGACACTTAACGATGAGTAGCCTCGGGCTAAAAGGCATCTGGTTGCCCCTCCTCCTCGTCTTTCTTGTGATGTACTCCAACTTTCACGACTGTGAGGGAAGGAGAGGCAAGCACCGGAGGGCAAAGCAACCGCCCTCTTCTTCCTTAGCTAGAAAGAAGGCAAAAGGAAACAATGGCGGCGACCGCCGCCATGGCAGCGGTGGTGGGTCGGGTGGGCAACCGAGACCGACCCCAGAAACAATGGCAGCAATGTTCGATGTGCTCGATTTCGGGGCCAAGGGGGATGGCGTGACTGACGACACCAAGGTGGACGACATCGACTCTGTTTCTTTGGATCATGTCTCTGTTTTCTTGGCGTTTTATGGCACTCTCTTGGGATTTTTGAATCAGAAGGAGAGGTTGTCGATGATGCAGTGTGCTCAGAATCTTTCTTCTAATTGATGTAATAATGCAGGCTTTTGAGGCCGCATGGGCTGCTGCGTGCAAGGTGGAGGCTTCCACGGTGATCGTTCCTGCGGAGTTCGAGTTCCTCGTTAGGCCAATCTCATTCTCAGGTCCATACTGTGAGCCCAACATTGTGTTTCAGGTACTGAACAACAAGAAAGTAACATCTAAACCTTCTCGTAGTTTTATGGTGCACAGATTCAGCATTGGAATCCATCTTAATCCTGAGAAATGCTTCTTAAATGTCACAACAAGAAACCACCTCAAAGAGATCGACTTGAATACAAATATGCCACGAACGAGACTCGAAGAATTTATCAGATGATCTCTGCAGCTGGATGGAACGATCGTTGCTCCGACAAGCGCCGGTGCATGGGGTGCAGGCTCGCTGCAGTGGCTTGAATTCACAAAGCTGCAGGAAATCACCATCCGAGGCAGTGGAGTGATAGATGGCCGAGGTAGCGTCTGGTGGACGAATTCCGACTCTGACATCGATCCGGTAATCTCATCATCTTCCTCATGTCATTTCCCACTCTCGACCCCTTACTTAAATGCTCATGGCGATGTATCCAACAGATAAATGCTGAGCTCGGTTCAAAGATGCCACAGATCAAACCTACCGTGAGCGCTCTTCTTGCCTCAGCTTTCTTGAAGCAAACAGAGGGTCTTCTCGTCACCGTTTTCTCCTCTTCATTGTTTCAGGCCCTAAGATTCTACGGGAGCTACAACGTGACAGTCACAGGCATCAGGATCCAAAACAGCCCACGGTGCCACCTCAAATTCGACAACTGCGAAGCTGTGGAGGTCTTCAACATTACAGTGTCTTCTCCAGGTGACAGTCCCAACACAGACGGAATCCATCTTCAGAACTCCAGAAATGTTTTGATCCATCGTGTCGACATGGGATGTGGTAATTCCTTCTCGACCACGTTAAATGCACATGAACTTTGGCTGACAAGTAGCTCTCTGTTCATAAAACGCAGGCGACGATTGTGTCTCCATCCAAACAGGCTGCTCGAACATCTACATACATGACGTCGATTGCGGTCCCGGGCATGGAATCAGCATCGGGGGTCTCGGCAGGGACAACACCAAGGCATGCGTCTCCAACATCACTGTGAGGGACATCAACCTTCGCAACACGATGACCGGTGTCCGAATCAAAACCTGGCAGGTAAAAAGCTTGAGCAGCTTAAAAGTTCCGATTCATATATCTGGGGATTCTGATGGTCTGTGTCCATGGATTTTTGTCACAGGGTGGCTCTGGCTCTGTTCAGGCCATACAATTCTCGAACATAAAGGTTTGGGAGGTCCAAATACCGATGGTGATCGACCAGTTCTACTGTGATCGGAGCTCCTGCGAGAACCAGTCCTCGGCAGTGGCACTGTCGAGCATCGCGTATGAGAGCATTAGAGGAACCTTCACTGTGAAACCAGTTCACTTGGCGTGTAGCGACAGCTCTCCTTGTTCGGGCATCAGCCTCAGCGAGGTGGAGCTCGAGCCACTGCAGGAACGCTACCACATGACCGATCCCTTCTGCTGGCAGGCATTTGGGGAGCTGTATGCCCCGACCATTCCTCCCATCACCTGCTTGCAGATCGGCAAGCCAGCAAGCAACAGGATCTCGACCGACCACGACTTGTGCTGATGGTGGTCGTTCGATGCTTCCGACCGTCGCACACCATTGTTCGTTTTTGTTAGAAATCGAAAAGCTCTGATATCACTTTGGAATTAATCTTAAGATTCTCATTAAATATAAAAATTTATGATATCTCAAATCATGAAATTTTGACTTTCTTTTGTTCTTCTTAATCTCCTTCCAATTGTATCTAAATCATTACGAATCAGGAAAAACTCAAAACTAAGACTCATAAATTATAATTATTTTTAATAGTAAGGTTTTTATTTAATATTCCAATATGCTTCCGTTATGTATTTGATTACATGCTTTGATTACAGCTATCTAAAAGAATACATCATATTCGCAATTCAAGAGAAAATTGTTGTGATGCAAACTGACGCCAACTTCGACGATGTCCTGCAAAAGGAACGACTGGCGTCTTGTTATGTACGCCAAATCAAGGAGTCCTCAACAAATTGTAAGCGGAGAGGAGTGAGCTCAGAGCGAAAACACCGAATGCGAGGAACGACATGGCGACGGCGCCGCTGGCTTTGTCGGTGAAGTCGTCTCTCCCGAACCTGGAGACCCACGCATCGTTGCGAGATGCTGCCGCCGACGACGCCGACATCAGAAGGTAAGCCAGTACCTGCAGCAACCAACATACTCGAGGTTTGAGGATGAGGATGATACCTGCGAAGCTGCTGCGGAGCCACTGCTGCTACGGCCATCACGTGAACATTGTGATGTGATTTTTAATGTTTATAATATGTTTGGTGGGTCGTCATTTTACAAGAGAATTAATGATTCATGAAATGACATGAGAATTAATGACGGAGCAATTAGTCTTCCTATTTATCTGGTCATCACGATGGCCGAGTCAGCAGAGAGCAACAGGCATTTATTGATGTCGTATACTACAACGCCGGCTCACCTGATCCATGGCGAGATCAAAGTAATAACGCTTCGGAGAAGCTATGATGTACTTCATGGCGATCACACGGTGGATCTTCGCGTAGACCTGAAACAGCGAGTACACGAACGCGATCACGTTGATCGCGACCAGGAACCTAGAGCGACAACATCGCTCGTTCGATCACGATCAAACGGTGGAGGATTAAAGAAAAAGAGTGAAAAGAAAACCACACGATTAAAACCCCGAGAGCGAGGACGACGGATATCGACGATTAAAGCGTGTCGGTTGGGCTCGTACCGGAATTCTTTGTAGCGGTCGAATGAGTCGCCCGCCCAACCCTCCGTCTTGTCGGAGGCCATCACCGAGAAGGAGATCATGCACAGCAACACCGCCGCCACCCGAAGCACAGGGTCCGCCCTCGTCACCCGCTGCCGCCTCACGATCGCCGACGCCGTCCCGAGTCCCCTCTCCCCCGCTCGCACGCCGCTGGTCCCGTCCAACCTCGCCACCGCGGACGCGTCGTCCCGGCTCATTCTGTTCGCTTTCGCGACCGTCACCACCGGCGGCGGAATCGTGCTATCCGCGTGACGAAGCGGCGATCGGATAGGGGATCCCGCGAGTGCATCTACTCGCGCTGGGGTTTGGGGTCTCGACGATGCCTTCTCCGATGGTAACGGCGGCGGGATCGGGTTCTCCGGGTCTAGTTTCGGCGATCGGCAAGGCGAACTCATCGTCCTCTACCACTGGTGAGTTCCAATTCAATGGTTCATCGCTTTCTCTTTCGTTTGCGTTGCGTGTCTCGATTTGGTCTCATTTATGGGCGGAAGGGGTGGGGGGGGACTGGGGCTTTGGGACCACCGGGGAAAAGATTGGATGGCGCGAGAGGGGAAGGAATTAACCGCAGCTTTGGCAAAAGACTCTGAACTCGTGCCGGCCGAAGCCATCAGCGATGTCGCGAGGAAAGCTTAATGCTTTAGGGGAAGGAACGGTAACGTCGATTGAAGATGGGTGATGAGGAATTCACAGCAGAAGAGGGTTAAAAGAGAAGTCGTCCCTGTTTGGCCACGCGAGCGGAGGTGCATTCGATTGTTACGCTCAGGGAGGGGGGTTGCGAAGAAAGGAACAAACACAGAGAAGTACGAGGAAAGCAAACAAGCGAGGGAAGGAGAAGTGCGTGAGGGGGAAAGCCACCGCTTGCCCTTTGCAGGCTTTCTTTTGTTTATTCGCCAGAGAGGAGGAGCGCCACACGTATACAAAAAGCTGGACACATTGGTTCATTGGTTCGAGTCATCGGAGGCTCATGTTTTATATTGTTTTATAATCCACAGACCAAATCCAGGAAACAGACGGACGGGATGATTTTAGTATTGTTAAAGCAAATTATGATGATCCAACGTCAATGTCAACTCACGCTTAAGTCTACAGTAAGCTCGGTGTGGGAGGGAGACAAATGGGTTTGGTAGAGGATTCTGCGAAACTAAGTAGGAGGTGTATTTGGTAAACAGACCATCTGATGTTTTAAGTTAGTAGAGCTGAGAAGCACAACCGAGTCCGTGTGAGTGTTTTAGTGGACTTCTGATTGACGAACCATCACATATCAAATTGACGAACCATCATCGGACTACTGAGACATCTAACTCGATGTCATATATGACGTTTGAATGCTTGTGTTAGATTTCGCATATCATTGTTTCATGCTACAATTGTGGTGTACGATATCACCTCGATGGTAGTCTTTCTCCTGCAGGTGACCATCCAAAGAAATATAAAAAATAGTAAATTAAAAAAGTGGTACATCATACAAATATCTTCGTATCTTCGTCTATTTAGGATCATGATTTATTTTTTTATAAATTAAGATAATTTATTTACTATATATGTAATATTCGAATGAGTAAATGTTAAATATTATAGATTATCAATAATTTGACAATGTTCAGTAGTGTCACATTAGCACTATCAGATAAAGTAAAAAGAACATTTGTAGAGATTGACATGGTATTGGCTTCAATCATTTTAGTACGATGAAGAAAGTCATGAATATATTTTTTTAAAAATATATTGATCAATTATCATGTAGTTGACTTAAACATTAAAAAAAAATTAAGGACCCAAAGACCTTTGATAAAAAAAAATTATTTTCAAGTTACTAAATTAATTAATCAATTAATATTGATTTATTATCAATAATAATAAAGTCATTCACATAAATTAATAAAAATATAGTTATACTCTCGTGAGAATAGATGAATAATTAATTATTAGATTGAGAATTATGAAATGTGATTAGATATATTCAAAGTTCATGATATTAAGTACGATGATCAATAAAGTTTAGAAGTCTCATAAATACACCCTCAAAAATATAATTACGAAGAAATATATTATTCACATCACAATCCGTCAATTGTTAGACAAAGGTAAGATATAAATTAATATGAATTATTCTTGACTTTATAACTTAATTAAATGTGTCATGATACTCAAGCCATGTATATTAATAAAATCATTTTGCAGCAAGTATTGTTTTATACTTGGACCATCAGGATTTTCTTGATATGAAAAACATATTTGCACCAGGTGATAACTGGGATGGGATGAGACTAAGTCTCATGTACTATTCCCTAATAAAACATTATATTCTTTGATCATTGTTGCTCATCATTTCAAAATTCTTAAAGCTCAGTTAACGATAAAAGGCTCATAAATAATTTTTTGACGATTCAAAATTGGGCCGACTTATGGGCCATACTTCCCACTGGGCTGCATTACCTTTGGCTGCCACAAGGATTATCTTTGCGTGTTGGCTCCTCAACAAATATAGTTGAAAAATAATTACTCGGGATTTCCTATTTTTGAAGATATTTCTTCTGATTGCATGCAGTCATGCACATCTTCTTCTTCTTCTTTTTTCCCCTTACTTTTCTTGTGAGATGAAGGTTAAAAAAATGACTACGGAATAGCTTCATATTAAAGATAGACATTTATTGAGTTTAACCAACAATTTAAGAGTTCAAGTTCTGGATTTAATTGATATATAGTTTCATGTATATTACTCTTATATGATTCAAACTCATGCAATAAAAAGTATATATATATATATATATATATATATATATATATATAAGTTTCATTATGACTTGACTGCATGAAAAAGAGATGACTAAGCCACATGCGAATAGAATACATGAACATATTCATGAATGACGACTAAGGAATAGTTTTATACTGTTGAGAACTAAAGGATTCGATGTGACATATGTCGAGTTGAGTTTGACTGACCTACGACTGACCGCCCTTCGATTTTTTGATCGAGTTGGTGGACTTTATTGATTTTAAAATTTTTTTAATAATATGAGTGATTTAGTAAAAAAAATCTTATAATTTATTTTTAAACATAAATATATTATAATAACTTTTTTTCTTATTTTTTTAAATTTTTTTAAATTTTTTTAATATTTGAATTCTAATATTTAGTCCCACGTTGATTGAGAGTAAGGGAATCAAATACCACTGAGTCCTTGTCGATATCTTTTTGAGATTTATAAATTTTGAAAATGTAAAATCATGCACTTTCAAAGCAAAAAATTCCTTATGAGTTTATAGGGAGCTTTTGTATACTTAAAGATCAAGATATTTGATGTATCCAAATGGGCAATTTATCAAATCAACATCTGTTTAATTATCTTATTTCATTTCTTTGTAATTTTTATTGTCGTAAAATTTGGAAACCTACTGATGCTTAAGTTGACTTATCAATTTCAATAATAAAAAGTTAGATTTGTAGATTATGTATCAAACTTACACTTTCAAATTTTTGTTTTCTTTTTTCTCTTTTGGCACATAAATATGGTAACATAAATGTATAGAATTAGAAAATTGGCACTCCCTCACCAATCATAGATGATGTCTGTGGAAATAGATGAAGAAAAGTAACAAGCATAACATGACAAAGGCTGTAATTTGATGCCATCAAATTGCCAATCATTTCCTCGACGACTTGAAATAGTATGATCAACAGATAGAAAGCCTTCATTACTCGATCATCTCCTCCTGGTGTGAGTTTGATGAGGTAGCTTAATGCAGATGATGCCAGAAAGTTGACATGGAGAGATGGGTTTTTGGGAGAAGCTAAAAGCGCAGACCACAGAGAGTTCTTGATATCTATAAGACTAGAGAATTAACAATTGTAATCGGTAGTTTTGTAACGAACAATGTCAACCGGCACCATTGTTTTCTCCCTTTAAGATACATGTGTCTGTTGGTTGGATTAGATGACCTCCATGAGGTCTTTCTTTTTTCTTTTAGATGGACCACACAAATAGATGGCCTAACAACATCAAAATACATGTGATTGTGTAATTGTTAGTCCAACTTGATTCTAAATTACATTTACAAATGATCGAATAGATGACTCAGATGTCATGTTGGGGAAGACGATAACAATAAATTAATAGATTTTATGATAAGTCGAGTTCAAAAGAATATTGTACAATATGGATAAAATATTTTTCTTTGGATTCATCAAAGTCCTTGCACCTAGGTGGTCGAGTCTCATCCGTTGTGCTAACTAGGCAACTATAAAATGAGTTATGATTGAGAGATAAACTTTGTTCAAACAACACAAGTTCATATTTTTAACATATATATATATATATATATATATATTTTGGCGACGTGTGGATTTAAATATATATTTAGATGATGTTAGTGTCAATTTTGATCGGAAAAAAAAATCTATTTTGTACTGAAGCATAGGAGTAGCTCAACGAAGGATGATATATTAAAAAGGGTTTAATCGTCTGATTTCGATTCCGACGTATTACCCAATTAAAACTCTTCTGATGCTCGGTCTTCTCAACCTCTTTTTATCTTCTCGCGTGTACCCATCAGAATTCTAAGCCTTTGGGTTGCTCGTCCGTCCATATTTAGCACACTATCAACGTAGACAAACGAGTCGGAACACACAGAGGTTTGATGCAGGAAACAACCTACCAAACCTGCCCCTTCTGAGAGGAGGAAGTAAATGAGAGCATAATTGAAGATGCTCGTAAACTTATTTCCCACCAACCTCCAACCATTCCAACCAAAGCAGTGGACTAATTATTATGGAGGGAGGAGAATTAATTCCATCTCCATGCTGGTGGTGGATGGGTTTGACGCACAACCGAAGACGACCCGAGTCAAACCTGTCAACCTCTTTAATGAAGGCTCGGCCACGCCACGCCACCGGTTGACTCGTCTCCCAAGACTCGTTGGTCCACAGTTGACCAAACGTCGCCTGATTTCAGTGGCCATGTCGGCCAATTGTGAGGTGATCTCCGTTCATGCACTGGAGGATCAGTACATGCGAGTTTGCACGACCATTAGCTTAATCTGATAGGTTCAGCGTACCGGCCCATTCATATTCGAGCGTGGGAAGGCTGGCGACGTTTGCTTCACATCCACAGCCCTGCCGTCTCCGCCCGCCATTGGATGTGGTGGAGCAATCAAGTAGGGCCGCACAACGACAGTGAAGGTGCGCGGATGCGTCCGCTCCCCCCAACTGGCAAAATTGAATGCCTCCAACCCTACTCTTCAATGAGAAGTTGGCTGGGGTGGTTGCATCGCCTCACCCTCTTTCCCGCATTACCCCCCTTTTAAAGCCACACGTTCCCACTCTTTGGCCGCCAAACCACCTCCTAATTAGCCCCTCTCCCTCTCGGTTCTCCCTGCCCTCTGTTGTAGAACGAGTGTCGTCGATGGAGTCCCAGAGCGATTCCGCTTCCGCCCAAAATGAGCGGAGCCAGCAGCAGCATCTTCCAAACTTCCTCCAGTCTGTAAACGTCAAGTATGTGAAGCTCGGGTACCATTACCTGGTCTCTAATGGCCTGTTCCTTCTCCTCGTCCCCCTCATCGCCGCCGCCTCCATGCATCTCTCGAGTCTCACTTCGGAGGATTTCCTTCTGCTCTGGGACAAGCTTCGGTTCAACTTGGTGGCCGTCGTCCTTTCCTCCACCCTCATCGTCTCCCTGTCCACCATCTACTTCATGAAACGGCCTCGGCCGGTCTACCTCCTCGACTTCGCGTGCTACAAGCCCGACAGCGCCTGCAAGTGCCCTCGCGAGCGTTTCATGGAGCAGTCGACACGGGCGGCGTCCTTCACCGAGGAGAACCTCGCGTTCCAGAAGAAGATCCTGGAGCGGTCGGGGCTGGGGCAGTCGACGTACTTCCCCGAGGCACTGCTCTCGTCGCCGCCGAACCCGTGCATGGCGGAGGCGAGGAAGGAGGCAGAGACGGTGATGTTCGGGGCCATCGACGATCTCTTGCAGAAGACCGGGGTTAAGCCCAAGGACATCGGGATCCTGATCGTGAATTGCAGCCTCTTCAATCCCACGCCGTCCCTCTCTGCCATGGTTGTGAACCACTACAAGCTCAGAGGGAACATCATCAGCTACAACCTCGGCGGAATGGGCTGCAGCGCCGGCCTCATTTCCATAGACCTTGCGAAGCATCTGCTCCAGGTAAGTGCTGAAGCAAGTATAGGACATCGTTCCTGAGCTGTTTTTGGAACAGAAGAAGAGAAGAACATACGAGAAATGTTGTTGAACCGTGTAGATGTAGAAATCCAGAAACAAGCATCATTTGGACAGGATAAATCCTTTTAGGTCTCGACGTAACATTTCCGATCCACAACTCTTGTGTGACGCAGGTGCACCGGAACTCTTACGCCCTGGTCGTGAGCATGGAGAACATCACCCTCAACTGGTACATGGGCAACAACCGCTCCATGCTCGTCTCCAATTGCATCTTTCGTGTGGGCGGCGCCGCCATCCTCCTGACCAACCGCCGGTCGGAGCGCCGACGATCAAAGTACCAGCTCGTCCACACGGTCCGCACCCACAAAGGCGCAGACGGTCGCTCCTACGGCTGCGTCTTCCAGGAGGAGGACGGGACCGGCAAGATCGGCGTCGCCCTGTCCAAGGACCTCATGGCGGTGGCGGGCGAGGCTCTGAAGACCAACATCACCACCCTGGGGCCGCTCGTCCTCCCCATGTCCGAGCAGCTCATCTTCTTCTTCACGCTGGTCATGAGGAAAGTGTTCAAGATGAAGGTGAAGCCCTACATCCCGGACTTCAAGCTGGCGTTCGAGCACTTCTGCATCCACGCCGGGGGACGGGCGGTGCTGGACGAGCTGGAGAAGAACCTGGCGCTGAGCGAGTGGCACATGGAGCCGTCGAGGATGACGCTGTACCGGTTCGGCAACACGTCGAGCAGCTCGCTGTGGTACGAGCTGGGTTACATGGAGGCCGAAGGGAGGATGAGGAAGGGGGACCGGACGTGGCAGATCGCCTTCGGGTCGGGGTTCAAGTGCAACAGCGCCGTGTGGCGTGCGCTGCGCGCCATCAACCCCGCCAAGGAGAAGAACCCCTGGTCGGAGGAGATCCATGAATTCCCCGTCCGCGTCCCCAAGGTGGAAGCCGTCAGGGCATGACGACGTACGCCGTGTCCCGTTCGCTTCATGTACGTAGGCGTGTCCCTGTCTCATTTGATCAGCGAGGAACTCGTGTACGTGATGATTGCTAAAGACATGAATCGGTCAGCTTCATTGATTGAGGAAAGACGTAGATAAACACACTATGTATCAATCCCATATACACATCCCAATAATATCGATCCCAAATCTGTTCACTTCGTATGACCATATATTTTTTTCTCCCACCTCATCGGAATGCATTGATGGCAAAAGTATACGTGAAATAAAAGTATATTCTTCAAATGGAGTTGTGGTAGAAGTTATTTCTGGAATATTAACTATGATAGATTAGATTAGATTAGATTAGATGGAGTGTTATTAAACGTCTGTCTTTGATTCCTCTCCTCTCCATGTATAGTATAGGCCCAATCATCTGGTCCTATTTGGTGGGCCTATAGGAGTAGCTTATTCTTTTGGGCCGGCCCAAATTCATGAGAAACATCGCTCTCAAATTACCAAAACCTTTTGATAAATCAATAAAAAAAGGTTGAATAGAAGTGAGAAGAAGTATCATAAAATATGATACCTATCTATGAATGTATATCGATATGAGCTCACATTGAATTAGACTTTGAGGGTAGTAGCAAACCTATATGTAAAATATAATGATTATGCATGCGAGTAAGAAGGCATGGAATGGAATCCAACTAAAGATCAGAAATTTTTAGAGATCTAAAATAGACGAATGCCTTTGATAGCGCAAATCTTAAATTCAGAATCAGATCGAAATAGGGGATCAGGAAAAACACAATTAAGACTTTCTTCGAGGTTGCAGTTCATAAAATAAGTATTTGAGAAAAACGAAAAATCGCCCATTAATATTCATCCAATTAAATTAAAATATGTAGCGTACTAACTAACAAAGAGAGGCTCGTCTCATCCCCTACCCTACCATGATATCAGCATTCCGTTTGAGATTGATTCGAGTGGATTAGACAGCATTGAGATGACAGAAAGGTTGATAGGCTCATATCTGCTTTGAACAGTGTCTGCAACTCCATATGTTCTTAAAAACAAAAGGAAAACCATGACCTGTGACGCCTCTGCCACAGTCTCTCCAAATACCAATGAACTGATGATGAACTGTCTAATCCAAATGCGATACCACATACATCGGAGTTGGGGAAACCCCCCCCGAGACGTCCACGGTTTGGGCCCTCCCTCTCATGATCGAGCTCATGAGGGAGGAGCATGAGACGCTACGTATCCCGCAGTATCTCTTTTCTCGCGTGCAGCAGCAGCAGCAGCAGCAGCAGCATGAGGCGGAGGAGGACAAGGCGAGCTTTTCTTTCCTTCTCGCAGTCGCAAAGAGAATGAGATGAGCAAGAAAACAGATTTCAATCATGTGGCAGGTGGATTCATCCCGTCTTTGTTCTTTTCTCGGCTTCAGAAGCCAGTAGTTGCCTCATCGACGATGATGGGATGGAACAACTCGTACTCTCTCTCTCTCTCTCTCTCTCTCTCTCTCCCTACGACGAATGCGTTCCTGCGAATAGCATGTCGCAGAGCGACTGTGAGTGGGGCCCGGCGGTCAAAGACTGCTGAGCCCCATCGGCCGCTCACGCTCGCAGAGAGCGATCCAAAGGGCGGTCAGGGTCAGAGAATCCCGACGTTGACCCGTCCCCCCCAGCGTTGCATGAGACTGCGGCGAATAACGACGCCGTGGAGAGAAGGAAGCCGATCGCGAGCGGCCGTACGATCGCGTCACGCGCCATTGGGCCACCGTGGCCCACCGCCGACACGTCGGTGGACACTCCGTGGGCTTGCCTGTGACGTCATCACCTCGCTGACGCAGTCAGTCCTCCGATGTGGCATGTTGCATTATCCATCGGACTATCTCATGACTCGCCTGCGATGGATCCACCGATGGGGTTGCATCGACACCACACGGCTCGAAACGTTCACTCTAATCAGCAGGGTGATAACTTCGGAAGAAGAAGCAGGCGGTATTCACATGCATGATGACATGACAAATGGGATGTACGTTGATCCAAGAGAGCGATGGACAGGACCGAGTGTTGAGAGCAGCGATGATGAAGGTATGATGGGAACATGAAAAGCGAAGGGAAGGAGACGTTTGGGTACGAGCCATGGCAGAGAAAAAGGAAGTGGTGGCGTGCCCCGGGAGGTTACCTTTTCCGAGCAGGCTCCGGTCCAAGCCCCTCCCTCTTGTTTGGTTCCTCAGTCTCCGGTCACCGAGTCATGCGGTGCAGGACTCACATGCCATTTCAGTACCATGCAAAAGAGTTCGACAGAGGAAGTATGAGAAAGATGGAACGAATGGTTCTGTCACCGCTGGATGCTCACATCCATATTCTGCTCATCGTACTTCCCCTCCTTTCTCACGTGAATCTCTTCAGTGCTCTCTTTCGTATGAAGCTAAGTACCTAAGCTAGCGATGCTACTCTCGTTTGTCGATTATGACTGCACACTGTGGCATACACAAGTAATGCCAAATCCACTGTGCAAATATTATGTCCTTTTCTAAGGGAAACTCTATATCTCTGCATCTTGCCGTTCCTTCATGTATATAAATAAATATGAAGGACTCAGTAGGGAATGTCGTGAAAGATTCTGACACCGCTGCACCAGCCAGGTGAAGAACTGTCAAAGTCATATGGCTGGTTAACTCATGATCTCTTGGGTTAACACTTAACTCCATCAAATGGAGTTCAAGAGTCCTTCGAATATTGAGAACAAAGTCTCATATCACTAACAAGTTAATGAACGGTTCCATCCAATCATTCAATCATCACTGCACAATCATCTGAGCATCATCACTGGTCTAATGGCTAGGAGAGTGTGAGTCATCTACACCCTCAAACGGGCGAGGTCTGCGTCGTGGCCGGTGCACCAGTACCAAAGGGAAGAGAGACACGAAAAGATTCCTCAGAGCAGCAGAGCCTCTCGGGGGGTGGGGGGAACGAGAAAGGCCTCGAAGCATTCTTAAAGATTTGAGGAACTCCTTCCCCCCACCGCTTCCAGGTGAAGAGAAAAGACGGTACAGATGCTAACGAAGAATGGCCAACAACACAGGCAAACTTGTATTCTGCTCCTTTTTATCCCTTTGTGTGTTGAAGGAGAGTGAGAGACAAAAGAAGATCATGCGCAAAACTTGTCATGTACAGAGGAAGTAGGGCAAGCATCAGAACCCGCCGTTAACAACATGGACCTTCCTTGCTCGCGTGCACCGGAGAGGGTTTAGAGAACGAGATCTCTGTTCTTTGAGAGGCTTGTCCATCTCTGGGATATGCGGAGAGCAGCTTCGATGGCATCGGCGCTAGCGCCAAGAAGACCTTTCCCCGTAAAGCCTACGAAGTAGATGCCATTCTCTCCGCTGCAGCCACTAGGGAATGGGAGTTTGGGCTTCCCTTCCGCCGAGAATAAATCAGTGTCCTACAAGCCGAAACACCATTCGATGAGACGCATCATTTTTGCTCTGGAAAGGCTAAATTTAGACGACGACATCCCTCTGTGACAATATCAGCACGCAACATTTTGTTCTGTAATATATATATATATATATATATATATATATATATATATATATATATATATATATATATATATATATATATATATATATATATTCGTTGAATTTGAGCTATAAATCACAAGAAATAAATGGGTAGAAAAGAAAGACAATTTTGATGTCATGGAAGTGGAAAGAGGAGATTGCCTTGAGCCAGAATGGGACATTGGTCTTGTACCCTGTCGCAAAGACCACAGAGTCGAAAGCCATCTCCTCTCCATCGACAAACTTGGCGCCGTTGCTTGTTAGGGACCTCACTTCCTGCACAGTCTGCCATCGCAAGCAGGAAACACCAAAGTCGAATCAGAAAACGTAGAATACTGAGACGTCATCAATTTAGGGAAATGCAAAAGTTGGAAATGGTAGAAGTTTGCAAAGGCATAGAGGACTGATGGCTGCCTAGAACTGAGGACCGAGAAGTGTAGGTTTTGGATTTTAGTGCATTAAGTGCGTAGGACCAAAACAGAGGACCACCTTGATCTTTCCAGCTTTAATCAATGACAAGGCTCCAACATCCAGAACAGGGGTTTTGCCAGTCTTGTTCTTCAGCTCCAAAGGCCCCATCTTTGGCCTTTTCAGCCCATACTTCTCGGTATCTCCAATGATCATCTTGGCCATGATCAACAGGAACCTGTCCACTACTCTGGTTGGCAACCACTTCAGCAGCCTCATCGCCACACCGAATGTGGACGTCCCGAGCATCTCCCTCGGTAGAACATGCACCTGTTTATTTCCATTCGGATGCATAACCAAGCTGATGACTGATATCAAGGAAGATAAAGGATAGAGGAACGTCACAAAGGTTGTAGACAGTACTCCGCTTCTCACGGACATGAAGGGCATGGCTCCGTGCTCGCACAGGTCCACACATATCTCCATCCCGGAATTCCCACACCCTATTACCAGCACCCTCTTCCCCCGATACTCCACCCCGCTCTTGTACTCGCTTGAGTGCAGCAGACTCCCCATGAACGCCTGAGCCCCTTTGATCTCTGGCACCACCGGCTCCGCATTCTCTCCTGTCGCCACCACCAGCCACGGCGAAGCGAACTCCACCACCTCCAGCTCCCTCGGCTCCGTCAGAGGTTCGCTCGAGGACGACGACGGTGACCGGCTCGACTCCGAGAGCGTGTCACACGACTGCGATGGTGAAGAGGTCTGCATGGGGGCGTCGGAGAGGTTTCGACGGATTGCCGTGACTCGCCAGAGGGACGCGGCTTCGTCGAAGCGGGCGTCGGTGACGGTGCAGCCGAAGAGCGGGCGGAGGGAGAAGTGATCGGCGTAGCGGTGCAAGTAGTCGAGAAAGTGGTCTTTGGAGGGGTACGTCGGGAGGTGGGCGGGGAATGGGAGATGAGGAAGCTGGCAGAAGGGTTTGGGGAGGTGAAGGTTGAGGCGGTCATACGTGCGGTGGCACCAGAGGTCGGCGATGCCGTCCGACCTCTCGAGGATGATGGAGGGCACCGAGAGACGGCCAAGAGATGCGGCGACGGCGAGGCCCGAGGGTCCGGCGCCGACGATGATAGGACAACGCATGATGGAGATCCGTCGGGTTGATCTACTTGGCTGAGCGCTCATCGGCATGGGAGTTTGCGGAGAGGGTGTCTCACTCATGTCGACGACCTCCTTGTCGCTTGTAGTAAGGAGTTCACTGTTTGCTTTAGTTGAGGGCTTTCTAACCCCGGACTGCTGTGTGCTGCACTCGTAGCTCACAAGCGGCAACCTCCCCCACCGTTTCTACGTCTCCCTCACTCTAAGCAGGCATGCAGCAAACCAAGAGAATGGCTGGTGTTCATGCCATAAAACAACGCAACTCACAGGCCGTGACAGAACACCTTAGAAACTCCTCTCTCTCTCTCTCTCTCTCTCTCTCTCTCCCACAGACACACATAAAACAATGGGCCACAGTGGAAGAGGAAACGAAAAGATTGTGGGAAGGAAGCTAAAGGAGAAACTATTCGCGGTTGGGTGTTAGGCCAGAAGGGGACCCTTCCAATATATAGGGGAATGAAGCGAAAGGACAACCTACGCTTTACAGGACTCTTCGCATATGCTGATAGCAGTTAAAAACTACTGCTATCAACAACCTACACCTTTTAGATATCTTAAATCTAGCTGCGTACTCATTTATTGAGGAAAAAGAAGAAAGGCCCCTTCAGCTATCGATCCGGAGGGGTATGTTCCATATCTATTTTGGTATGCGGAATATATGCTGAGGAAACACCATGAAGGACTAAGGATGAATGAGAAAGTATAGCAGAAGAGACCATGCATGAACTTATGTTTCTTATCAAGGCAGCAACCAAACGAAGAGACACATGCATGAACACTGTTCTCTGTTTTGAGCTTTCCGTGGGAGTTGGATCAGGTGCATGTGGGTTTCTGGTGTGTTTCCACCGCATGAGGCGAGCAAAAACTTCATCCGAGTGAAATATATATCTTTGGATTGAGATCTTTGATTGCCATTGGCTGACAAGAAAACGTATGCCACAATCTTATGTTAGGCCAATCCATCTCTTGAAAGCCAAAGCCGCTTCTCTTCTTTTCAGCTGAGCTTCGGTCTGTGTCTTGGAAGCCTTTCCCTTGTATAGAGTCCGGTGATACTTCAACCAAAGAGATCTGTACTTGTACTTGTCGATGAACATCCTTTCTCTCTCCATCATTTCTATTACTTCCATGGCTCGAAGGAAAAAGCCACCCCTGACAAAGCAATACAATAAGGAATCCAATAGCTCCTGATCAAACTTCATTGAGTGTGAACTCGCAATCACTTTCATTTCACCCCACAAATCTGTTACTTCCACATACTTCCCACCTATTGCAGCATAAGCAGTAACCAGAGAATGGAAAGTTTGGGCATTTGGGGTGTGTCCTAGGGCTCTCATCTTGCTCACAGCTTTCTGAGCATCATTCATCATCCTGTTCTTGCAGAAAAAATGTATCACATTGTTCCAATCATGAATGCCGCTATTGACATTCTGACTGCCCTTAATTTCTTCCAAGAGCTTTGCCATCAAACCTGCTTCGCCGTCCACTGTACAACCTTCCACCAATGTTTCAAGGCTGTGATGACCGGATCTTGATATATTGGACTCCTTCATCTCCCTAAATATATGCAGTGCTCCACTTGAGTCATTATGATGTATCCGGGATTGGATTAGAGAGTTGTAGCAGCTTGACTCAAGCTGGATGCCTGCCTTGCGAACATCCCTTAGAAGTGCCAGAATTTCATCATGCTGATTCTCCTTACAATAAGCTTTAAGAAGGGATGAATAAACCAAAGAACCAACTCTAATTCCAGAAAACCTCATCTCATCCAGTAGATCATGTGCTTGCTCTAACAAACCACTAGAGATACACGCATTTATCACTTGAACGACAGCAGAGTTTTCAACAGAGACTGGAGAATCTTCCTTGCTTGCCTTGATTAGAAAAGCTGCCAATTCACAGACCTTATCAGCTTCAAGGAAAGCATTCACAAGTTTCGCATACAAATTCTCAGTAGGGTGAAGAATGCCACGTTCAGATTTAACAAGTTGAACCTGAGCCTGTATCTTCTCTGAAAGTAGCTCAAGTGATTCCTTTGCTTCAGCTTCAAGCCTTGAAAAATTCCTATCCTTGGCGAACTCAAAATATGAAGGAGCTCTGCTTTTAATCAATTTGAACTTATCCAAAGCATCCAACTTCTCATGTCCAGAGTCTCGATAAGAAATTGATTTTTTGCCAGTTTGAACAGCCTCCAGCACTGACTTTGCAGCAGCCAAAGATCGCTTTGCTTCCTTTGCTTTTCTGAGCATGTCCAAAACCATGTCCACAGCGGAATCCAGGTCCTTAAACTTCAGGTGGCAAGAAAGCAGGCAGTCATAAAACTTTTGGAAGTCCAAATCGCTAAGGTCAATTGCCTCATCAACATGCCTCTTCAGTTTCTTAATTTCATCTATATGCCCATTCTTCTCATATATTTGAGCCATCACAATCAGCAAGCTAGAATCAGGCTTCACACCAATCCGTGGCATCATTTCAAGAAGCTGCTCAGCTTTTCTAGTACTTCCAGATAGGAGGCATCCAGTCAAAGTTATGTTAAAGGCAATGGCGTTTGGCTTCATCGAAAGCAAAGGCCTGTTACTTTTTTTCCGAGGATCAACCCTGTTATCTTTGAAAAGATATCCAATCTCCATTATTAACTCGGCAGCAAGCAATGTGCCAGTTGCTGTTTGACACATGTGGCCTATGATTCCAGACCAAGCTGTTAGAGGAGGGAATGCTTCCATCTTGACCAACTTTCTCATAATATTTGATGCAAGAACAGGCAACTCTGACCTCGAAAGAATGAAAGCAAGGTAAATAAGTGGCTCTTTCTCCATCAAATCATGCTTCTTTTCTTGAAAAGCCAGTTCAACCACACTGTATGCGTTGTTTAGCCAATAGGCATGATAGCTCTCAGCAAAACTGGTGAGTAGCTTGCTTAAGACTGATTTCCTAGGGAGACCATCCATATGCACATGCTTCTCATATGCCTTCCATGCATCCTCAAATCTCTGCTCCTCAAGTGCGTGTTCTAGTTCCAAAGCTACTTGAGATGGGTCACGAGCTTGAACTAATATGGGCTCAGACATTGTAGAGAACAAGTTTGGAGAATTAGTGATGTTCCATGTCATAAACCTGAATGCCTTCATCCTGTTATGAGAGGAACCTACTAATATCCTTGTAAAATCACCAGTTATTGGAGCCTGTGACCCATCACCAGAAGTACTACTCAACTTGTAGCACAAGCAAGAAAGCGATGAAAGAAAAGCTGAGGTTGAACGTGAAGGAGAAAGATAGCTGAACTTCCTTAAAGAAATCATTTTGTCATCCAAGGAAAAGCATCCATAAACTGGAAAACTCTGCATCCAGGAGGAAATAAACATATTGGAACAGAATACCACTTCAAGCAAACCAATCAATCTATCTAAATTTCAAAACTTAAACAATGGATTAAAAGTACTACAAGCGTATTAAGGACTTTCCAGAGATGTTTGACCAAATTAACATGTAAATTATAGTAATAACAAAACACTTGGAGCAAACAAACATCAAGATAAGTAGAATACAGATGATTTGCCTAGGGACACGAAATAACATTCATAGAAATTATACTCATTTCTTCTACAAAGCCAGCCATTACTGGGAAAATGAATTTCATAAACCGAATTGGAGTCCAAAATTTCAAACGAATTGTTGGGATTCACTTCACCATTTTGTATTTACATAATTGTAAAGTATTTGGAGCATAATAATATCAATTCAGGAAGCAGGAGTCTCAATTATTATATTATTGTGTAAATTCTAATGCAAACATGAAGTGCAACTGTGATGCAAGACAATCAAACCATAGTGCTACCACAACTCCAGAAGACAAATCAATCAATTCATTATCCTGAAACATCCCTCAATCTCGAGAGATTCTACAACCTTGCTCACGATCTGGACTCAGACAGAATTCGAGGATTTTCCGTTGAGGTGATTTTTCGAACAGTTGACATGCTGCTGACTATTAGTGAATACTTTGGCATGTACATAATGAAAACTTCATTCTCGATGCAGCCGGCGTTAGATTGGATGTTATACCGTGCAGTGATAGCCAAAAGAACAAATCTTTGCTTCTCAAGAGATATAGATCTCCAATCCAGCCAATTCAATAATTTCTGACCAACTAAAATCGAAAAGATCGCCACTTCCAAGCATGTGTTTGAAAGCATCAACATTTTTCCATCCGTTTATAAAGAAACTAAACTGAAATCAGGCAGTTTCAGATATAAATCAGGTTGTTTACCTGCTGTTTGTTTCATTCCATTGCGTCGACTGATGAATCTCCAACAATCTCTCTGAGATAAATTGATGATCCCCTTTACAGAAGATGATAGGATAGAGAGACTGCAACACCACTAACTGACAGTGATGTTAACGATCCATACCGGGGAACTCACCACGCAGTAGCAATCTCCTGGTGGGATGGCCGAGGGCGGTGAATTAGAGACAAGAACCTTGGCACGTTTCAGCAGCGTCGGAGGAGGAAGGATGGAGGCTTTCGGCGAGGGACAAAGAGCCGGCGGCTGCTGGAGGTCGGCAGCATCAGCCGAAGGACGAGGAAGAAGGGTTTTGGGAGACTGGTCAGGGAGGATGACGGGTGGGGCCTCCTTCCGGGTATTGTTTTGCGTATTGAAAGAGTCATAGCAGCCTTTATTCTCTGTTACATGCCCTTCCCCAGCATATCGTTATAACGTCTGTTCGGAGTTCATAACGGATATTATTTCAATCAGTAGATACTTACCTTCCCTCCCGCCGATGCCCACCGCCACATGCTCCCCTCGCCCGACCCCGAGTCCCTCGCCGCCGCCGTCGAGCTCGCCGTCGCCATTCGCTCCGCCCGCCTCGGACGCGCCGCCCATGCCACCGCCGTTAAGCACCTCTCCCCTAGGCCGCTCCCGGCATTCCTCTCCAACCACCTCGTCAACATGTATTCCAAGCTCGACCTCCCCACCGCCGCCGCTACCCTCCTGTCCCTCGACCCCGATCCCTCCGTCGTCACCTGGACGGCCCTCATCTCAGGCTCTGCCCAGAATGGCCGCCCCCTCTCCGCCCTCGCCCACTTTGCCGCCATGCTCCGTGCCTCTGTCCGCCCCAACGACTTCACCTTCCCCTCCGCCTTCAAGGCCGCCGCCGCCGCCCGGAAACCCCTCGTTGGCCGGCAGATCCACGCATCTTCCTTCAAGTCCGGTCTCATCGATGACGCCTTCGTGGCCTGCGGCGCCCTCGATATGTATTACAAGACGGGCCTCACGTTCGACGCTCGAATCCTTTTCGACGAGATGCCTCAGAGAAATATCGTGGCTTGGAACGCCGTGATGACCAATGCGGTGTTCGATGGACGGCCAGATGAGGCAATTAAAGCCTTCATCAAGCTACGCCTGCATGGAGGAATCCCGAACACAATCTCTCTATGCGCCTTCCTAAATGCCTGTGCCGGTGCGTCTTACTCGTCCCTTGGAAGCCAACTCCATGCTTTTATGATCCAATCTGGGTTCGACTTGGACGTGTCTGTCGGTAATGGGCTCATTGATTTTTATGGCAAATGTCATTGGGTGCACGAAGCGAGGGCGGTGTTTGATGAAATGCACATCAAGAATGACGTCTCCTGGTGCTCGATGGTTGTGGTGTATGCGCAGAATGGGGCCGAAGAGGAGGCTTTTCGGGTGTATTTGGATGCAAGGAAAGAAGGCATCCGTCCCACCGACTTTATCGTCTCCAGTGTTCTCACCACTTGTGCTGGCCTCTCAGGCCTCGACTTAGGGCGGTCATTGCATGCTGCTGCCATCAGGTCTTGCATCAATGGCAATATATTTGTTGGGAGTGCGCTTGTCGACATGTACGGGAAGTGTGGAAGTATCAGGGATGCTGAGCAAGCGTTTGAGGAGATGCCAGAGCGGAACCTCATTTCATGGAATGCTTTGATAGGAGGGTACACACAGCTCGGGAATGCACATATGGCCCTCACGGTGTTTGATGAGATGATAGGGTGTGGTGAGGTAGCACCTAGTTATGTAACTTTAGTTAACGTGATTACTGCTTGTAGTAGGGGAGGACTGACAAAGGAAGGATTAGACTTGTTTGAGACAATGAAGGAAAGGTTTGGGATCGAGCCCCGTTTGGAGCACTATGCATGTGTGGTGGACTTGCTTGGGCGTGCAGGAATGGAAGAGCGTGCCTATGAGTTTATCAAAACAATGCCCATCAGACCGTCCATCAGCATTTGGGGAGCGCTACTTGGGGCTTGCAGATTGCATGGCAAGACTGCGTTGGGGAGGATCGCTGCACATAAGTTGTTCGAGATTGACCCCCAAGACTCTGGGAACCATGTGCTGCTTTCCAACATGTTTGCTTCAGCTGGCAGGTAGGTTTCATAGTCTTGCACTTCTGAAAAGTTTATTCATGTTATGCACAAAAGTGAATTGTTTTTCATTATTGATCTCTACAGGTTGAGTATCTATTAGGTTAATATTCATTTTAGTTAAGCATGAGTAGAAAGTCAAGAATCTTATGAATAGGGCTGCAGCTTGGATATAATCTAGAAAAGCCTCTGGAGCATGACTAGATGCTTTAGGCCTAGGGATGCACAGCTGTAGAAAGTGGAATAGCATTGTTCCTTGATTGCCTAAGACAATTTAAGCGTCACCAATTTTCTTTTTCACTTTGTTTCTTTCAATTTTTTTCTTATATTGTTAGATTATTGGATTGGAAAATTATTATTTGAAGTATACTTCTCTTCCAAATATTTTAATACATAGAGTTTGAAAGGCCACTTTTAGGAATCATTAAGAGTCAAATTTATCATCTCCTTATCTTTTAGCATATTGTCTGTTCTCATCACTCACTGGACTGAACCTACCAATCCACCCAAGGTAAGTCAGGTCAGGTTGGGGCCTTTTTTTTTTTTTGGTTCTGGTCATGCTTGGGCTTCTCTATCTCAACCTGATGCTAAATGGATCAAGTTTGTCTGTGCCACTTAGAAATGGCTTAGATTTACTCCTTTAATCTTTTAGCAGGTCCTGCCTCACAACCATGTGAAAATTGAGTGCATTGTGTCATTGTAGATCTTTAAGGGCTATCGATGTTCTATAAGTTGGAAAAACTGATACGAGAAGATATTTAGTTGATTCTTTCTGGAAAACCTTTACCTTGATTTGACTTTTGCCGTTTTGAATGTTTCTTGAATCATAACCCAACAAAGTCAACCTGAACCCAACTTGGAACTGAACAAGCAGCGCATGGGGTTGAGAAGTTCTAACTCAACTGTGGACAGGTTGTCATAAAGAGCAATTTTATGGCAACCCAAAATAAATCCAACCAAGAAGGGACACAGTCCACCTAAGTTGCCTTCACTGATTTGAGCTAGGCTCATTTATCTGTGTTGTTTGAAAATGAAATCAATGTCTTTCTACTTGTAAGAAACTTCATAGTGACAAGATAACATGTAGACCTTGCATTCTTTCTTTCTTGGCTAATAAAATTTTCCTTGTAAATGCATTATATTGAAGTTTCAGCAAACATTGTCTTCACACTTATATTTAATATCCTTGGATCTTATTTCTAGGTGGGTGGAAGCTACAGAAGTGAGAAAGGAGATGAAGGATGTTGGCATCAAGAAAGGTCCAGGATGCAGTTGGATCACCTGGAAGAATGTAGTACATGTCTTCCAAGCAAAGGACACAACCCATGAGTTGAACGACAAAATCCAAGCAATGCTGGCTAAACTGAGGGGGCAGATGCAGGCCGCTGGATATACGCCTGACACGCAGTACGCCCTCTATGATCTGGAAGAAGAAGAGAAGGAGACCGAGGTGCTCCAGCACAGTGAGAAGCTCGCGCTTGCCTTTGGTCTCATCAGCATTCCTCCTGGGATCCCCATAAGGATCACTAAAAATCTTCGAGTGTGTGGGGACTGTCACTGTGCCTTTAAGTTTATATCCGGTATTGTTGGTAGAGAGATTATTGTGAGGGATAACAATAGGTTTCATTATTTCCGAGATTATCAGTGCTCTTGTAGGGATTATTGGTGAAAGTATTGTAATGTCTGATGGATAGATAAATTAATTCATCTCTGTAATTCTAATATCTCATGTCGTTCACAGTGAATAGTTTGATCAGGATGACACCAACAACATGAACAAATTAGACCCTCCCACAAAAATTGAGTCTCCTATTTTTATCAAAAGATATGCTCAATTGAAAAAAATATGATCTGTACATTTCTACCAAATTATACTTTTGGCAAATCCGTCAATCTACCAGTTTTATGATGTAAAATACAGATCAGTCATAAATAAAAAAAATATATGACTTGCTCATTGATTCATCATTGTTATAAGTTGCATACCATCATTAGCAATACTTTGTTTTGGATCTTGAACCACCAAAGATTTATCTAGTTTTACAAACTCTTTAACGTCGGATGATTGAAAAATGTTATGCCTAAAAAAGTTAGGATTAAGAACTCCGAAAATACAATATTGACAATTACCTGCATTTCATCTTTGTCTAATTTTTTTGAGAGTATCTTTCAACTTCATCTGTTTTGTTGGTTCTTGCAAGCAGTCAAAGATTATTTTTGTACCGTTTCTTGTTCTTGCTCAATCTGAACAAGATTAGTTTTAGAAACGAGTAGTAATAAGAGTTGATATAATACTCTTAGTCCTTTCTCTAAATTGAACTTTGCAAAATGAATTAATACAATACCTCTTATATTTGTTTTCATTTATTATCTATCTCTTTTTCCTGTGTGTATTATTTGGGTTTGTCATCTTTAGAGTTATTTTTCAGCAAAAATCAGACTTCTGATGAACAATTTTAATATACTGGTGAATGCTGTGTAAATTCTATTCAAAAATCAAACCAGTGATTATATTCTGAGAAGATGCCAAGCACTGCCAGACATATCAAACACCCAACACCCTCCTGTGGGATCTAATACCTATTTCCTTCACAAAATTACTCCTACAAGATCTCTTGTGGCCTTTTATGGCCCAATGCCATGATATCAACACAGCATACCTGTAAAGACAACAACAAACTTGACAGATCATGATGAATTGGTGTAGATTAATCAATTTTTTTTAGGGAAAATCTATTAATTATTTCTTCAGGAAGGCCACAGCTCATCATTTGCTGCAACTTAATTAATGACAGACTTGATCAATACTTTTTCAAAGTAAAAAAACAAAAAAAGATCTGCATCTAGTCTTTGAAGCAGAATGGTTGTGACTTCATTAAACTTAGCAGTCTTTGCTGCTAATGACACCACCATTTTCTGAAAACTACTGAACAGAACCAATGGCTTGTAGCCTTTGTTGCTGACATATTTGTTCTTTTCTGATCCAGCATTCAGTCCAAGGGAATAATGAACAGCTCAAGAGACAAAAAGATGTCGTACAGATGAAGATTGTCCCAGTTATTAGTTAAAATATCATTTTATGCCATCTTTTATTGGGTGAAATATTTTAATCTTAGAAATTTTGTGACCCATGTTTCAGTCTTGTTAAATATCATTAATGATGGCACTGAACCCAAAAAAATGGACTACTCTTTGACGGCTGATCGTCTGGTCTTCCTAGTTCGCACCGTACCGACCTTAGACAACTCGCCGGTCATGAAAGCTTCTTGCTGTGCTCATGGTGTGTTTTCACTCCCATGTCAGACAGCAACCAGACATGTTATGATGGCCAATCCAAAGGCAACTGCTGTTCCTTAGTACAGCCATGAACACGTTGGATTGGTGCTCCGAGACTGCAAGATTCTGAAGCTCTCATCACGGAAGGCAGCCGAAGAAGATGCTCAACTACCGTGATGCTGCCAAGTGATTCGGAGACCCTCATCAAAGAATCGAAGGTCTCAGGAGGACTCACAAGATGCTGGGATGTCAAATTGCCGCAGAGAATCTTCATTTGTTGCCAGTGCCAGATCTGGAAGTTCTCGTATTTCCATTCTTCCAGTTGTTATGATAATTTATCTGAGTGACAAGATCGAATGCTTTTACAGTAAAATAAAAATGCAAATGCCTTTGATTTACTTACTATTCTTATTGCACCATTTTCTCACCCCAAACATTTCTTACCGTGAAAGCCAGTCTCATGTGATCTTGACTTCTGGAAACACCAATCCTCCTCAAAAGCTTTAGATCACTCTGAGCTTAATTAGATGTAAGCAAGGGAAACAAACTGAGTTTTCATTCCTACTAAGACGATCCATTCTTGATGAAAGTTGTCATTTTTCTCATGCTACTTGAACCATAAACTCGTATGACTCTGTATCTTTGTGGTGGCCATTATTTTCAGTCCGGTCTTTGCCATGATAGGTTATGGTCAGGTATACTCTCCTAAAAGCTTTTGCCAAATCCAACTGAAGAATACTAGTAGAATGAATGTACCACCTCACATTTGTGGTGTTCCATACATAGTTTGGCTAATTGGGCTCCATAATTTCTTATGTCAATAGCAAGATGGTGCAATTAGCCACACGTAGATCATCTCAATCCTGCTCTTACATTTCCGAGATGGGTCATGGCATGCCCTGTTGGCCTGAGCTCGATTGATTGGGTGGGTCCCTGTGCAGCCTAGGATGTTAGATATGTTCCCACCTACCCCGTTCGATCTTATGGATTCGAGTCAAGCCCAAGTACAAGTTGATCGGATCAAACCAAACCAAACCAAACCAAACCAAAAGCACGAACGGGTTAACCGAGGCCGAGTCGTTGGTCCTGCAAAGAAGTTATGCGAAATGGCACGATTGCCCTTCCAATAACAATGCGAAGAGTTAGTTGGGTGGCATTTGTATCTTTGAACTTTACCTTGTGATCTCGGTCAAATGCCTCTTCCCATCCCTCACGAGATCGTTGTTGGATCCACTCCCCTCGCCCTCTCAGAGAGGGGTGCACCGGCGGAAAAGGAGAGTGAGGTTAACGTTCCAAAATCGGCATTGAAAAAACGCAGCGAGAATCTAAATCGCAGCCGTCCGTCTCGACATCACGTGAGAGATCACGTGACCGGAGGCCAGCGCTGATGACCGACGGGTCTATAAGTAGCGGCCGATGGCTCTCGCCCATCCTCACCTCCGCATTGCGACCTCGAAGCGATCTCTATCCGTCTTCGACCCTCCTCGACTCCTCCTATCCCCCTCCGTGCGCTTCTGGTTGAGATCTCGCCTCATCGGTTCCGTTCCTCTCGCTTCTGATTCCTCCTGGAAGCCCTTGGACCGCCGGTTGTTCTTGTGCCTCCGAAACCCTAGGGCTTGCTTGAGATTGGTCTGCTCTCGCGGTTGGATGCTACTTTCGCGAGGGTTATGTGTGGAAATTGGTCGTTTTGTGGTAGATTGGTGACCATGAGGTCGTTGAACACGTGTTCTGATTTCTGATCAGCCCTACAAGTCCGTGATCTGAGCCCTTGACGAGTAGGGCGCAAAATAATTTCTCTCGGCGACTGAGCTTTTGGTTTCGAAGCGAGAGGATGTTTCCGATTATTGAATTGAGGACTCCAGTAATGGATTTTCATTTGGTAATTGATTCTATCGAACCCATATTTTTTTAAAATTTGAAGTGAAATGTGTTACCAAAGTGTGCTTCTGACTTAGAACTAAGAGATTTTGATTATTAGGGTTAGTGCCAGTAACTTATCTGAAATCGTGAACAAAGAAAATAGAATCGTTAGATCTATGATTCTGCATGACATATAATTGAATAGTTATGAAAGATCATGTTTTCTTGACCACCATGCTAATTTCTCTGTTTTTCTGCTTCATGATATACTTGTCATTTGTGCCGTATTTTAGCATTTAATTTATTCATAAATGTTTATGGACAATAAGGATCTCTTCCCCAGGATTTGAACTTTGGTATAGATTACATAATATTACCTTGTTCATTTACAATATTCCACCAATTGTTGTCCCTTTTTATGATTTAGTAATCTAATGGAAGAATTGTTTGAGACCACATATTGTGTTATTTTTTCAATTGGCGATAAGGTGTGACTTCCTTAGACTCTATTACCTTATTCATTTGCCTAATTTATTCATGTACTTTGTTTCATCATATTTAAAATTTGGACTTCTTATCTAATTCTCTTGTACCTTATTTTCAGAAGATTTATACAGGAAATAAGTTTTTCACAGTAAATCTCCACAAATTGTGAAACGGGATATCAACAAGGATTTCCAAATGATGCTGTTCATATAGAACCTTGTTCAATCAGTTTTTTATGTTGGTACACATGAAATGGGGTGCCGTGGAAGACCTGTTTTTGATCTTAATGAACTTCCGACGGAAGAGGAAGGCGATAATGATAACCCTATAATTTCCCAGCCCCAAAAGTCTCTTCCAGTTGGCAATTTGAACAGCTCAAATCTGTTTCTATCATCAGAAGGGTGTCAAAGAATACTGAATAACCATGCTTTCACACATGCATCAATTGGTTCTGGTTTTCAACCTTTTGTTAGGAAAAAGGATTTGCCAAAAGCGGAATGTCCGAAACAATTAGATGGTGAATCAAGCGTTAACCAAATGCTGACATCTGTAACTGCAAGTCTTGAGGATGATAACAAAGCTAGCAAGTTGGTGTCATCGGGTGATCAGGATGGCCAAACAGCTGAAAGAGAAGAAGGTGAATGGTCTGATATGGGTGGCAATCCAGATGAAATCGTAAGCTTTTCTACCAACAAGCAAAAGGTACCTGACTCTGAAGCTGCAGAGAAGCAGATTGTGAATGAAGAAAGTGAACCTGACTGTATTAGAGCTGACGAGAATAGCCACAATGATTCTAGTTATATTGGGAATAGCGATAATGAAGTTGGTGAATCTTTTAAAGATCTGAAAGAAAATGATTCTTTGGGCTCAAAGAGCCACAAAGTTTCAGATTGTGACTCCAGAGTAGAAGTACTTGCTGATGGCTTGGGGGAATCTTCAATTTCAAAGAACAAAGAAATTAGAGGAGTTGAAGCCAGTCATGCTCTGAGATTTGTCAATAATCCTGTTAAGAGGCCCAAACTTGATGAGCACAAGGAGGCTATGTTAGGAAAGAAAAGGGCCAGACAAACTGTCTTTATAAACATGGAAGAAGCTAAGCAGGC